AACGAGTTTCCTATCCATTTTTGTTCCCGGAAACAGAAATTAAAAAAAAAAGAAAAATTCGGGAAAGTTGTCATGCACACCCTTAATCATAAACTCTAAAAAGGTACATTGAATTAGAATTTTAAATGATTTTTTGAGATAATTTTTTTTATAGATTTTAAAAGATTATTTAGAATTATAATCACTTAAAAAAATTACAATCAAAATTTTATAAAATTAGATTTTATATGATATTAATAACATTTATGAGATTAAATTTTTTAACTGTAATTAAACCCTATAAAAAAAATAATATGTACTAAATAAAAGACCAAACTTAAAATCCGAGAAAGGGGACGCCATTTCAAGATTGAGACAGTGAACTGAGTACTGACTATTTAATGAGATAAAGTAGATACTTACCACTCAACATCAATCATGGATGCGTGGCCTCAATTTATGCCATTTGAAAATTTGATTTCATTCACATTTAACTCGTGAGAAAAATCAATACATTCCAAAATTAGAATGCTTTTTAGGAGCTTTGTTTTAGTGGACTCCGTACACATGGTCCATTTCAAAAGTAGCAAAAGATAAGGGAGTTAGAGAAAATTTTTAAAAAAGTAAGGGACAAAAAGGGAAGTTCATTTTTCCAAAAATAAAAAAAGAACCACTTAAGAAAATAGGTCCGGATCACTTTAAAAAATCCCGCTTTTTAGGTGCAATGCTCGTTGGTGCTACTTCCATTAAAAAAATACACATGGATTAAAATTTATTTTCTTTTCCTTTATTATACAACCTGCACATTTTCTCTCCCAATTGGATTGGTCCGTCGTACTGGCTGAGTGGTGCGACCGTAACACCTTAGAAATTTCTCCAAAATTATTTAGCCATGATTATTTTATTTATGAAAAATATGTTTATTATGTTATATAAAGTAAAATTATTTTATATAATAATAAAAAAAATAGATAAGATTTTTTATGGAAAAGAAAAAAAGAAAAAAACGTGAATCCTACTTACTTTTTTGTGTATACAGAAAATATATATATATATATTTAGGGAAAAAAGTTTTCGATGTTACTTTAGATAATTTTATCTAATGTTCATCGAAACGACGTCGTTTGTGGTTGAAAAATTAAAAAATTAAAGTGATAAAGACTATTATAACCCTGAAATAAATTAAAATTACAAAAATACCATGATTTTCGTCCCAAAACGACGTCGTTTTGATGAACATTAAATAAAATTATCTAAAGTAACATCAGAAAAAATAAACCCATATATTTAATGTAACACCAGAAATATATACCGTTTGTATTACGATTTCATTTTCTTCCTATTTTGTGTATTAAACGTGACATAATAATAATGATGATGTTACATTCTCCTAACAAATATCTATAATGCCACTTTCGATTACTATAAAATACAAAATTAGATAAAATAAAACATTTAATATCTTAAGAATCTTAAAAGAATTTAATATTATTTTTTCTTTGAATAACCTGGGAGCAATCCTAATGTCTCTAGGGGGTGTTTGGTTCAAGTTTTTGGAGAGGATTACCGGTAATCCTTCTTTGATAAATGTAATTATCACGTTTGGTAGAAGGAATAAATTACGATTCCCGGATATCCAAGGATTACCGGTAATTTGATTTATAAAGAAAAGTCACTATTCAGATTACCAAAAATAATATGGTAATTCGGAATACCAATCAGAATACCAAGTAAAGGGAAAGCACAACAATAAATTTTGAGACAAAAATGCCTCAATACACATAAAAATCTAGACCCAATCTATCAATTACAAAAGTAAAAATAGTTTGAGGTTATTTTTGTAAAATAACCTCATATTCCAAGTCATATTTCGTTCTAAACCAAATATGGAATCAATAATCTTTACCCAATATTCCCGGTAATATTTTGGCGAACCAAACACATCTTTCGTAAGATTCCAAGTAAACTCAATTTCTACTGAATTCTCATTAATCATGATTCCCGGTCACCAAAAAATTTCTCTTGTACCAAACACACCCTAAGGCTCTGTAAAACATAGCTGATTTTTTTTTTAAAGAACTTAACTGATATATATTGAACATGAGTTTTTAAAGGACAACATTAACAACCTTTTTATTTAGCCTTCTATCCTAATCTTATAAATGTGCGTTGACTCGGATTTGTTGAAATATTTTATTTACTCTGTGCGTTTTTGGAAATGCTTTTGAATTTTTTTAAAGAATGAAATTTTTTCGAGATTTATCCTTTCATATATTAATTAATAATATGACTGAGTGATGTGAGAGGATCCTAATCATTCATGGACATATTAACCGTAATAATCATATCACTCTTTATTCTAATATTTTTTTCTTTCTAATTGCCATCACCATTGATTTATTAATGAAGAATTAGGATCATTTCACATTATATCATCATATTAAATAACATAGAGAGAGTATTCATTCCCAAAATTTCCTCACTTATTACCTTTGTTCATAAAATTCTCAGCACTGACTATATCTATTAACAGCTTCATTTATTACATAGATTTTAGTTTAGATTTACCTAATACTTAACATTATTGAGCTGGTTATAATTGGAGTATTTGTATTCAGGAAGATTCTGTATTAATATAAAGTAGTTGTTTGTATAATTATAGGGTTCGTTTTTTCTACAATCAATGTAGATAATTTATCTATTGTGAGTCCAAAACACGTCGTTTTGAGGCAAAAATTAAGGTATTTTTGTGATTATAATTTATTTCAGGGTTATAATAATCTTTTCCATTATAATTTTTTAATTTTTCAACTCAAAACGACGTCGTTTTGGGAGCGAACGTAGATAACTTATCTACTTTCACTTTAGAAACATTAAAGCCATAATTATATAATGTTTTAATGTTTCTACTGTGGTCGTAGATAAGTTATCTACATTCATTTTTAAAATGATGTCATTTTGGATTGTAAGATTAAAAAATTATAATGAGAAATACTATTATACCCTGAAATAAATTATAATTACAAAAATAACTTAATTTCTATCCTAAAATATATTATTTTGGACTTAATATAGATAAATTATCTACGTTACAGTAGAAAAAATGGTTATATAATCTATAAAAATATTAATTTTTTTTATACCTATACTCGTTCCAAATATCAGTGCTTGTGCATCTGGACTGAAAAGTTGGCATTGATCAAGCCTCACCAATCCCCCCATTTAATTTTTACGCTGTTGTATTAATACTCATGTTGCATTAATTATAAAAAATGGGTGAAATTAATACAATTAATAAATGATGTAATAAGTCTTTAATATTATAAGAGTACTTTTTTTTTCTTAAACAATAAGGGAAAGGAGGGGGAGCATGCTTGAGATAAGCACAATCTCCACGTGGTTCATCAAATGCACAGTGTGGGTTTTATAAAGGCATTAATGTTTTTTATAAGGAAATACTACTTTTATTTTACATGAGGTAGTTATCTCTTTTTTTCTCACTTCGAAAATCGTGCCTCTTCTTTTTTCTTTTTCTTTTTTGCTTTTAAATAGCGGGTCCTACTTGGATTCTCTCTGTAACATGAGAGAACTACTCTCATGTTACATGAGAGTAATATTACCCTTTTTTATATTATAAACAATGTCAGACCAAATACAATATGGGCTGGCCAATATGTATTAAGCCTAATCACATACGGTTGAAAAATAGATATCTGTCCCTGGTTTTGGGCCTGAAGTGGAAGCGGGGTAGTCTTTGTCCTTTGTTGTAGCGCGTTGGATCCGAATGGGGTACCTACAAAGACACTCTGATGCTTAAGTCAGTATAAAAGGCAGTAGTTTGTATGTTATTAATGTAAAAGATCATCGTACCTTGGTGTTGTACCATTTGTTTATATAGCGGTTATGATGTCGCCTTAGTAAGGCGGTATGACCTCTGATTGACCTGGTTTAGGCTGCATGTCAGGCTGGAACCTAAGTAACCTTATCTCCAGTCGTAGAGTTGCGGCAAACTGGAGCTGTCTGTCTTTTATTGGAATAAAGGCGCGGTGGGATTGCCTTGGGCCTTAAATTAGCTTCCTTTAGAGGGTTTTATCCGCGCTATGTGCACCGCGTCTTGTCCAGCGCGATGAGTGCATCACGTCTTATGCACGGTGTTGGTCCATCGCGCTTACTCTGGAACTTTAATGGGTTTGGGCTTCTCCGTGTGTCGCTAGGCCCCTAATGGGCCTATATTTTATCTAGATTAAACAATAAGGGAAAAATATGTATCATTTTGAAGGACACAAAATTGTGTTATTTTAAATGAGAAAAAGAAATAAATTATAAGAGAGAGAATAGATGTGAAAAGTTTTAAAAGCGTGGGTCTCACCTCTTGTGAGAGTGAAAGGATATAATGTGTGTCATCTAAAATAACCTACTTTTTTCTGCAAACGATAATTTTATCTTCTACGTATACATAAAAAAAGTGTGTTGACCCCATATAAAGTCACGTGAAGAGAAGAGAAAAAAAATATAAACCTTATACATTTTTATATATGTGTATAACATTAAATTATCTTCTTTTTTAAATCAAGTAAAAATTTAAAAATAATTTATAAAAGAAGATATTTTAAATTAAAAAAATATATGCATAAATAAAATAAAATAAAATAAAATTTATGATATACTTTTAATGCATAAATAAAATAAAATAAAATAAAATTTATGATATACTTTTAATGCATTCTTTTACTGATCCAGAATTTCCGAAAAAGTAAAAAACGCACAACGTAAAATTTGATTTTTTTAATATATATTTCCCGGTTACAGGAAGTGCTGGCATCATCCGCGAATAGAAAACAAAAAACATAGGTTCAATTCAAAGGATGAAGAAATGTCCTATGGAAACGTATAAACAGTTTTAAAATGTTAGCATTGGAACTTTGGAACTTGTAGCTTCAGAACTATGCTCTATATATTCATTCATTCACTCACTGAATGAATAACCTTAAACGCTTCAAACTGCAACCGAAATCACAAAGATGTTCTCTGCTACACTTCCCATTTCCTTCACAGCCATGTCTGCAAATGCCAACACAATGCAATCCCTAGGTTTCTCTTACCGCATGGTTCCTTCCGGTAGCCGTCTCTCTCCGGCGAGGCTCACCGGCGTCTCAATGGGTAGCTCACTCTCGGTTAATTCTCTCACATTGAGGTGTTCTAGTTCTTCACTCCCAAGCCCATCATCCTTTGGTAAGTGAGTGTTTGCTATTAAGTGTTCTTTTGGTTTTGCTAGTCTTGTTTTGAATTCCAAAAGAAATTTTTTGGGCAGAATGAGAAGTGGGTAGGTGTGTTTATCTTAAAGTTTTAATCTTTTCTGAATGTTTAAATAATGTTTTTATTTATTTATTTATTTATTATTATTAAGTTATGACTTGAATGCTGTAAACAAGAGAATATTCTATTTGAAAAGTGATAAAGATAAGAAAAATAATCTGTTATGATAGGGACCAGCGTGTGATTAATTTTGGATAACTGAATTTAAGGGTCTTGGTTAGATGGTTTAGTACATCGGTTCTTCAGCATTTGGTTAATTGTTTTTTGTGTTTTCATTGTTTTTTAAAGCTTTGATTAAGCATTTACTACTTTTGCAGTTGATGAAGGAAGGAAGTTTGTGGAGGCTTCAAAAAATGGAAACTTGATTCCTCTCCGTCAGTGCATATTCTGTGACCAACTTACTCCTGTTCTTGCTTACCGGCTCTTGGTTAAGGAAGATGACCGGGATGCTCCAAGCTTTCTTTTTGAGTCTGCAGAGCCTAATTTTGAAGCTACGGGTGTGGTGAGTGTGCTTCATTAGTTTTGTGATTTTGAATTTTAGTGTTGTTTGTCTGTTTATTGATATTCAGGATTGGATTGATTGCAGGGGCGCTATAGTGTTGTAGGAGCTCATCCAATAATGGAAGTTGTGGCAAAAGAAAATAAAGTTACAATAATGGACCATGAATTTGGGCATTTAACTGAGGAAATTGTCGATGATCCTATGGTGGTTCCCAGAAGAATCTCGGAGGGTTGGAAAACCTCTCTTACTGATGGTCTTCCAGATGCATTCTGTGGTAAGAGTTCTATGATCATAACACCTGTGTACCAAGATAGTATCTTGTCAAATTATGGTTTATTAGTAAATGTTCAGACTAACATGACTTATATATGAAATAATGAGGCAGAATCACTTTTATTTGATTCTATCGTTTATTTATAAAGCATGGATGTTGATGTACGACATGACATAGTCTGCAATTTAACTAGTTTAAGCTTCTGTTCTAGGTGGTTGGGCTGGTTATTTCTCGTATGACACAGTTCGTTATGTGGAAAAGAAGAAGCTACCATTTTCAAATGCTCCAAAGGATGACAGGGATCTCGCAGACATACATCTGGGCCTCTATGATACTGTGATTGTGTTTGATCATGTGGAGAAGGTACCTGTTTTTTGTATGCTTCGCAAATACTGAATCAAGAGTAGTATCTTGCTCGCAATGTTGACATTTGTAGTTCTCTATTTCTAATTTGTACTGCAGTGTATGCTCTTTTCATTTTAAGAAAAACTCAATTCAGATGCTTTATAAACTAAATGATACTCTTTTAATTTCTTTACTTATATTTTTTTGTTGGATTTTTGTCCACTAAATGAGGAAGGGAAATTTTTTTAGTTCGGTGTTCTTGCAAATGCCTTTTTTTTTTTTAACATCTTTGGACATATAATGGTTTAATAATTTTTTATCTCTTGTAAATTCATTTTTTACTGGGATGAAACAAATGCGGAACATTGATATGGAATCCACTGGGCATTTTCAATCAGCATTTTTATTGCTCAAGATTATCGAATATTAATATAGATGATATTTAGGACTCATTGATAACCTCAATACTTCATTGTTGGTTCAATTTCTTGTATTATGCCCAATAGAAAGCACATGTGATTCTTTGGGTGAACATTGATCGACACTCCTCGGCTGAGATTGCTTACAAGAATGGAATGGAACGATTAGAAAAACTAGTGGCCAAATTACAAGATAGCCAACTGTAAGTCATCTGTTCACTGTTCCTGTCCTTAATGATGTAGTTGTTATGGTTGAATCAAAATTAATTTATGGGTGCATTTGCTAGCCCAAGGCTGTCTCCAGGCTCTGTGAATTTGCAAACTCGCCATTTTGGTACTCCTTTAAACAAGTCAAACATGACATGTGAAGCATTCAAGGAGGCAGTTCTTCAGGCAAAAGAACATATTAAAGCTGGGGATATTTTTCAAATTGTGTTGAGTCAGAGATTTGAACGAAGAACATTTGCGGATCCGTTTGAAATTTATAGAGCATTGAGAGTTGTGAATCCGAGTCCATATATGAGTTATTTGCAGGTTTATTTCTATGTAACATCCTGAAATTGCCTCATTCAGGGAAGTTGTGGTGCTCTTTCATGTTCTGATGATTATGTATTTCTCAAACAGGCTAGGGGATGTATTCTGGTTGCTTCAAGTCCAGAGATTCTTACGCGTATAAAGAAGGTAGGTTTTTGTACATAGATTAGATTTTCAAATGAAATTGTACGTCTTTCTTAGTAACTAGGATGTTTGTTATAAATCTTAATTGAAAGAAAAAATTTCATATTAGGTTAATTAAATTACACTATTATTTATTTTTTAAAGTAAATATTTTTATGAATCTGTCATGAACAGAATAAGATTGTGAATCGTCCATTGGCTGGGACAGCTAGAAGGGGGAAGACACCTGAAGAAGATAAAAAGTTAGAAGTGAAGCTCCTGAGTGATGAAAAGCAATGCGCAGAGCATATCATGCTGGTTGATTTGGGGCGCAATGATGTTGGAAAGGTTTGTTATAAATATTCACTTTAATGGATACTCCTATTTGTTAATCCTGTTCAAGGTATCTTGTAGCAATAGCTTACTCAATTAATTAGTTTTTATAAGGAAAATATTGCTACTCTTGTCTCTTATATTATCTTTACTCTATAATCTCTTTTATTGGAGTTAAACTTTATGTAACTTCGAAGTTACATCGAAGTTACATCAATCAATATATAGTATTATAGTATAGCTAATAATTGGAGTTCAACAATGCTTTCATTAACTGTAGTTCTCAATCCTTTATCAACTTGTTTAGGTATTCATTAAAAGCCAATCTGCAACTGGATTATCTGGTTGCGTTGCAAACAATAGGTACATTGCATCTTTAGGAAAAGAATCCATTTTGTGGATATGAATCTTAAAAATTATTGTTTACTACTGCATTGTGGATTTGCAATGATAATGTATTTTCCTTTTTTTATAACAACTAACGGGTGTGATGATAATATTTATAATTTTAAACTTTAACTTTATTCTATTTCATATCATGATTCAGAAAATAGTTGTTTGTATGATTATATTCATGAAAAAAGTACTTTTATTCTGACTTTTCGAAAAGACAGTCTGTATTTTATACTTTAAGTTGTGATAGTTCTGACAACAGAAATTCTGTGTGTAGGTCTCAAAAAGTGGTTCTGTGAAAGTGGAAAAGCTTATGAATGTTGAACGATACTCCCATGTCATGCACATAAGCTCAACGGTGAGAACCTTTTCTTGTTATCTAGTGTTTGTTGATGTTCTAAAAAGAGTCTAATAGTTTCTTCTGCAAAAAGCAACTGTGTTGGTGACAGCCTTCTGGCAAAAATCAACATTTGTTTGTTTTTCCCATTCCTGGTTGAATTAATACATGTGATTTTTCTTGAAAAAATCACATGGTAACATTGCAAAAGTCTAGTGTTTCTTAAAAAGAATTAATATTTCGTATTATCCATGGCATTATGAAACTTGGGCTTTAAATTGTTATGCATCATTCTCTACTTTGTTCGGAAAAACATTTCCGGTAATTATGGTTACCAACACTTTATCCCATATTACATTGATACTATCACCGCGCTCCCCCTCCCCTCCTTCCCTAGGAAAAAAAGGTTTGTTTATTCAATTAAGTCAGAAAACTAGGTCATATATTAATTGCATCTTTCAGTTTCAACAAATATATCCATCATGGAATGATTATTTATTATATTTAAAGGTTACGGGAGAGTTGCAAGACCATTTGACTAGCTGGGATGCCTTACGTGCTGCATTGCCTGTTGGAACTGTCAGTGGAGCTCCAAAGGTTCATAATTTTCTTGACTCATTTTTCTCAACTTATAATTTCTTCCAAATTCGAAAAGCAGGTAAAATTTATGGGACTTATAATTATGTGCTACCATGTCTCTAAAGCAACCTGGTACCAAATGACAGAATTGTATCATCTCCTCGTGCTCCTGTTTTATTGTCTCCTTTCCTTTGTATATTTGTCCTTGTTAAGATAAGTTTAAAGCAATTTTACTAGTTAGGTCCTCAGCTAAATTTCCATCAAAATAAAGCTAAGTAAGTTATATTGTTTGGGGAAACTGACCAAGTCCTTGCATTTCCATTCCAATCTTCTAAATCTATTTTATGCATCCTTGTTCATCCTTTGAATGCACATGCTACGGATACATTATAGGTTGGTGTCTCTTTCTTAGTTGTTATCTTTTACATTTTTGGCTGCCAGGGCTCTCCCCAGGTTGAAACTTTGAGGTCACTTATTTGTGATAATAAACAAAATTGATACATATTATCCTTGTCAATTTGAATCTTCAACTTCATTCTTACTTGATGGGTGGTGGATGCAGGTGAAGGCCATGGAGTTACTTGATAAGATGGAGGCGACAAGGAGGGGGCCTTATAGTGGAGGATTTGGATATATCTCTTTCTCTGGGGATATGGACATTGCTCTAGCTCTCAGGACAATGGTATTTACAACAGGAACTAGGTATGACACAATGTTCTCATACAAAGACCTGAACCTGCGCAGGGAGTGGATTGCTTACCTTCAAGCTGGTGCTGGTATAGTTGCTGATAGTGACCCTGATGATGAGCACCAGGAATGTCAAAACAAAGCTGCTGGTCTTGCTCGCTCCATTGACTTGGCTGAATCAGCATTTGTTGGCAAAGGAGATGTCTGATATCTCCAACCTAATGAACAGTTTCTTGGGTTTAGGAAAATATCTACATATAGTATAAGAATATAGTCATATTATGTATACACAGTGAAGCTCCTGAATGAATTTGTATGTATGTACAAGTCAGGTGTAGCTTCAAGTTTGAACTTTATATTATGTTTCTTTAAATAACATTAGTGGAATGAACTTATTTTCTAGTTTAAATGTATCTGAAGATCATTGCCTTCCATACTAGCATTAAATGATAACAACATCATGGTAATCTTTTTAAACTGCAGTGATAATTCTCTTAAAAAACTGGATTTGGATTTTTTTTTTTCTTCCCCTTTAAGAATGAGAGTCTCATATTTTGCTCGCTTTGAGTAACAAGTTAACTGTGATAACCAAACTTTCCCAAAAGCCTAAATTATTGGATAAAGGTACATAAATGATTCTATATCTTTAACAAGTTTATATTATATATAACATTAACTAATGGGGACCATGCACCTTTCTTCTATCTACTACATGTTGCATTTGTTGTCAGTATCACTACCAAGTTCATACAAGCTGATCTTAATGCATGCCATTCATCAGTGTGCAAATATTGTCTTGCTTTGGTAGGGTCAAAGGGGTTTCCAACAGGTTAAAGATGATGTGATTAGGTCAAGTTTCATGGCATATAATTATCATAGATCATCTAGATAAACTAAGGCCGTAGTAGTGGTTGCTCGTTCTAGTAAGTGTTCTTAAAAGGCTTTTGATTAAAAGCTTTGTCAGTATCAAAATAAACTAATTTAAAGATGTACTAATTTATTTCAACGAGAAGAAAGCTGTTGAGCTCATAAATTAAGTTAATAATTAATTTTCACATGCCACAGTTTAATATCAGAAATTCTGGTTTACAACGGATTCAAAGCGGAAAAGGAATCAAATTCAACAAAGAATCCATCTTTACGAAACCCATAATTAAATCTACCAAAAATTTATACATTTAATCAAAAAGAGAGAGAAAGTTAAAAAAAATTTGAAAAAAGAGAAAATATTGATCCAATGGTGATTAGATAGGTAGTAAGTTGGTAGTAGAAGATTTTGGTAGTAAGAATATCCCTCCTCTTAAAAGAACGGTAAAGTGTTTGTTTGTGTAAAGGGAAACACTGGTATTTCACTTGTCATTTCATTAAAATGAAACAATATTTTATCCTTTAAAAAAGATAAATATTGTTCCCTTAAAACCAATAACTTTTCATTCGACTTAAAAGTTTTTCTCTTTAAACTTTTTCATTAAAGAAATTTCAACTCAAAATAAGATAATCCTATAAGGATTTGTCATTTGCGGGCCGAAATCAATAATTTAAATCACGTTCTCCTTTTTTTTTTTTTATACAGGAAATTGAAAAAGCAAAACAACAAACAACAAAATAAACAAAACATAAACCAACAAAAGCAGAAAAAATAAATAAAACTATTCAGTTTCTTTTCTAGGATGACAAACGCCAATAGTATCTTACTGAAGCAACAAATTTTTTTTTTTTGGTACATAAAGCAACAATTTTAACAGAGCAGGAAGAACCATAAAGATAGAATCATCTGGCAAAAAAAAATTTAGAACGGAGAGATTAGCTAAACAATTAGCACAATTATTGACTTCTCTAAAGGCATATATAACCAAAACCTGGCAAAAAAAATTAATTATTACATTTTAATTAAATAATTACGCGTTTATTGCAGTTTTGAAAATAATTACGGATTTATTGCACAATGTGACGCCTTTATTGGGCGTCACATGTGACACCTCATTTAAGCGTCTCTCACCTAAGGGAAGACGCCCCAATGGAGCGTCTCTTACATAAGCTTGACACGTGTCATTTTTTTTCTAAAAAAAATAATAATTTAATCATAAAACTTCTGAATGCCATAACTTTTGACTCGGGTATCCAATTCAGGTAATTCTTTTTTTGATTCCACATAACTTTTCGAGATCTACGCAATGATATCTCATTTGATATATTTTATTTCTCACAAATATAATTTAAATTTAAATTAGGTAATCCTTCTTCCTTAGAGATTTAGAATATTTATTTAATTATTTCTTTTATTAATACAGATTTTTCAAATTGATTTTTGAGTTTAAATCACAAATCAAATCTTTATTTTGTTTTCCTTATTAATAATAATTGTTACTTTTAATTTAAATCACAAACCAAATTTTTTTTATAATAAAAATAAAAAATTTATTTTTTAAATTAAATCACACATCAAATCTTAATTTATTTTTTATATTAAATCACAAACGCAGAATTCAGAGGCTTTTGAGTTTAAAAATGTGACACGTGTCAACACCTGACACGTCACCAATCACGTCTAAATTGGGTTTCAATCAAGAGGCAATCACGCCTAATTTAGGTAATTTTATTTTTGAAAAACATTCATAAGCCATCATTAATTTCAGACCACAAATAATAACCCAGAAGCTTATAGCATTAATCATTAATTTCAAAAATAATATCCTTCTTCCTTAGAGATTTAGAATATTTATTTAATTATTTTCTTTATTTCTACAGATTTTTCAAATTAATTTTTTAGTTTAAATCACAAATCAAATCTTTATTTTGTTTTCCTTATTAATAATAATTTTTATTTTTAATTTTAATTTAAATCACAAACCAAATTTTTTTTATAATAAAAAAATTTATTATAAAAAAAATTAAATAACAAATCAAAATATTATTTATTTTTTTATATTAAATCACAAACTCAGAACTCAGAGGTTTCCATTTTAACCGCTCTTATAATACCATTCTTGCAAATTAAAATTGTGTTTGTGAGAAATAAAATATATCAAATGAGATGTCATTGCGTAGATCTCGAAAAGTTATGTGGAATCAAAAAAAGAATTACCTGAATTGAATACTCGAGTCAAAAGTTATGGCCTTCAGAAGTTTTATGATTAAATTATTATTTTTTTTAGAAAAAAAATGACACGTGTCAACTTTAGGTGAGAGACGCTCTATTGGGGCGTCTTCCCTCGGGTTAGAGACGTCTAAATGAGGCGTCACAAAAAGGCGTTACATTGTGTAATAGATCCGTAATTATTTTTAAAATTACAATAAATATATAATTATTTAATTAAAATACAATAATTAAATTTTTTTGCCACCAAAACCTACTAATTACGGTATCCTTTATGTACTCGAAAAAAAAATCTACATTCTTCCTTTGTTGCAAATAAACAAAGGGTTATACAAACATAATGTAACAGGAAGAAAATCAATTTTCTTACGGACACAGTCAAAATATGGGATCCACAGGTTTTTTTTTCCCCTAATCTCACTTTCTCTCTCTTCTACTGTGTCAACAAAAATAAACAGTATTTTTCCTTTAAGATAATAATTATAAAACCCATAAAGAAATCCCATTCTTTTGTCAGTAGGCTTGATCAAACTAATATAAATTAGTCTCGGAAAAAAAAAAACACAGCTCCGATCATTACGGATGTGCATGACAACTATTCTGTTCTTTGATATTATTTTTAAAAGTAAATAATTCTTTTTTATTTCTGTACCTTGAAACTGTTTCTGAGAAAAAAAAATGTTTGATAAACATTTATAATTTTAATCCGAGAAAAAGAATTGCATTTGATAACACAATAAATAATGGAAATGGATCCTCTCATAAGTAATTTAACATGATCATGTCATGTGTGATGATCTTAACCATTAATAATTAAATCAACGGTGATGATTGTGTAACTTCCTATCCTTTTTTTTTTTTTCTCTTCCCGTATGATCATTAACTCACTCATGTATGATTATGATTGCCCACATGACATGGTCATGTTAATTAGCACATCAGATGATCCACTCCCTTAAACAATAGAATAAAAAAATTTATTAATCATAAAAAAATTTCGAATTATCATTTTTCTTTTCATATGGTGTGGTGGTGGCAGAGTGGTGGTAACAGTAACAATTGTGGTGATGGTGGTGATAGTGATGAAGGCGGTGACATAGCGATGATAGTGGTGGCAGTGACGACAATGGCGGTAGCGGCGGTGGTATGATGGCGGTGACATGGTGGTGATGACATAGTGGTGGTCGTGATGGAAGTGGCTGCGGCGATGGTGATGGTGATGGTAATGGTGGCGCTGATGGTGTGGTGTGGTGATGGTAGTGGTGGTAATAATAGTGGTGGTGGCGGTGGAGGCGATGGCAATGGCGTTGTGACGGTGGTGGTTGTGACATGGTGGCAGTGATGATGACGGTAACTTGAAGGTGGTGGTTATAGTGACATCGTGTGCGGGGGGGGTGGGGTGAAGGCATGGTGGTAATGATGGTGACGGTGATGTGAAGGTGGTGGTGATGGTGACATAGTGGGGGTGGTGGTGACGACGATGGTATGACAATGGCGGCAACGATAGTGGTAGTGTTCGTGCCGGGATGGTGGTGGTGGTAGTGGTGGTAGTGGAGAGTGATTGAGAGACACAAGTGTATCTCATTTTGGACCCGGGAACAAAAAAACAAAAACAAAAAATATTCTTTTTTCTGTTCCCCAGCTAGGGGTGGCAACACGGGTCGGCCCGCCCCGACCCGTCGCTAACCCGTCAAAAGTGGGTTGGCTCGCCCCGCCTCTTGAATTTGGGTTGGAATCCCCAACCTGTCCCATTTTACGGTGGGTTGGCGGGTCAACCCGCTTAAAAAATAAAATAAATTATATTTTATTAATATTATAATATTACTTCTTTTCATATCACATTCTCCTTAGTTTTTTTTCAATCTTAAGTCTAAATGTATGTTAATATTTAGTCAGATATTCTTTACAAACTTGTTTTTATCTCCATACATAAATTACCTTTGTCATAAATAAAGTTTTTCTTCTATATTTTTCTAGAGAGTACTAAGATAACAAAAAATTGGATATCACAAAAGTTTAAAAACAAATAAAACACTACCTAATAGTAAAAAATAAAAAATTGACCCGGCGGGCCAACCCGACCCGCCGCCAACCCGTTTTGACCCATACCCAACGGGGCAGGTTGGTGGGTTGAAATATGTAGCCCAACCGCCCCATTTGGCGGGTTGACCCGTCGGGTTCAACCCATATTGCCACCTGTATCCCCAGCACAAAAATTAAACTGGTTCATCCCGTGAACACAATAATAAACTGATCTTACCAAATGAGTTTTCTATCCATTTTTGTTCGCGGGAACAGAAATAAAATAAAAAAAATTCCAGAAAGATTGTCATGCACACCCTGCTTCGTTTAGCCTAATGTGTTATGCATAATAGTTGATATATTTATAAATACGGAAAAGTGTTTATACTTTTAAATGACACAACTTATATACTTTCACTCTCACAAAGAGGTGAGACTCACACCTTTTTTTCGTCAACTCTCTATCCTACTTTATCTATCTCTTTCTCTTTCTTAAAATGATACAACTTTACATCCTTTAAAATGACACATATTTTTTCCTTATAAATAATAGGGAAAAGCTCAAATAATCAGTGTAGTTTATCTTTAAATCACTTATTTCCTCATGTTTTTTTTTATCATTTACCCTCTATGTTTTTTTCCATCCAAATCTCTTATTATAGTATTAAAATTTCTAATTAATATGACTATTTTAGCCTTTTTTACAAAAATATATTTCAACTTTCCTGTGTCATTTTCTTCCCCAAACTTTCCGGTTTTTACAACTATGCTTGCGGAATTTATAATCAAGTTTCATGGGATTTCACATAGGGAGAAGCTTTTCACTCGTGCATTTCAGAATGAGTTGGTTTACAATAATCTAGTGATTGCATGCTTGGATAAAAGTGTCACAAGGCTTTCACTTAAGTACATGAAAAAAACGAGGGAATTGGGTTATCCCATCGGCCATCTCGCATTTGGTTTTCAATCGGCTCATAATTCTGCATTCATCTCCTAGCCTCAAGAAGATGATACCCAAATTACTCACCCAAATAAAGGCCCCCACATGTGTCCACCTACAACATTTTGATGAAAATGTCTGCTTACCAAAACGAGGTAACCACTCTCTTGTTTATGGGTGCGTCAGATATCCATAAGGACATCTTACAACTCATTTTTAACTATGTAATTTTAGGAATATATAATTATAATATTAAAGTTTTTTTTTTTAGTATGTATACATAGTTAAAAAATAATTGTTTATATTTCCGCTTGTTTATATGCTACGAAGTACCGACACTTCAAAAATTCTGACGTGTCATGTCCGACACTATCCGACACTTCGACACTCCCCGACACTTCAACATGTATTATAGAAATTCAAAAAAATGTTCAAAGGTTTCGTTGTGTTGAGTTTTTAGTTTCAATTACTAGATTCATTCGATTATGATTGCCATATTATTGAGTTGAATATAAATATTTGGGATATCTTATGTTTTTTTGCAAAATTGATAAATATTTTAAGTTTAGTTTCATTTTTTTGTTAAATTATTAAATATTAAATATAATATACACTACATAAATTAAGAATATTATTTAATATCAAAACGTGTCCTAACGTGTCAAAATCTAATATTTTTTAGTAGTAACGTGTCGGAGTTTCGTGTCGTATCGTGTCACGTATCTCGTGTCCCGTGTCCCGTGTCAGTATGCTACATAGTTTATATGTATCAAACCGATGAGGTTTTGTTTCAACTTTGAACATAAAGTAACCGTGCTTTAGTGTTAATTTCTCTGCATACAAAACTTTAACGTTGTGTTTGGTTGGGGAGAAGGAAAAACTTTCCTGGCTAAGTGATGGTGGGAATGTGAGTTATCAATGTTTGGTTGGGGATTTTTGTTAAAGTTTGCTATCAATCCCACTTGCCCTGCAATCCAAGAGGAAGTGTAAAAATCAGATTTTAGCACTGTTGGAGATTACCTTTCAACGGGTGGAATTGTGTGAGGAAATCTGATATCTGAAAAAGGTGGATAATGGGGTGACAAATATACCCCTCCTCCATTTTATTGTGGTTCGTATTTTGTAATAAAACAACAAGTTTTTTAAATAAGGATAGTTTTGTAATTTCAAACAATTTTTCCATCAAAATTCTATCTTCAACCAAACATACACTCAGAAAATTTGACCCAATTTCACCGGTAAACTTTTGCCGAACCAAACAGTTTTTTTTACATTTTCCTACCAAACTCACTTTCCAACCATTTTTCTATCAATTACATTTCCCTAGTATTCAAAAAATTTCTCCCCAACCAAACACTACCTAAAGGCAAATGCTTTACTATGTGCTCACAAAAGGCAGGGGACAACAAATCCTTGGAGAGGAATACTGTGACATCACTCAGGTTGAGAATTGGAAATGTCTTTCCAATTGACATTTTTTTTTCTTTTGAGAATGTTGTTTTCTTGAATTGGAGGTTTGATTTTTTATTTTATTTTTTGCTGGAATTTATACCTGATTTTGAGATATTCCATAACTGTTCTGGCATCTAATCATTGGTGATTGGTTTATTAGGTTGCAGGACCTTAGGGGTATTTAGTTTAGGTGAAATTTTTTTTACTAAAAAAATGTAATTACTAGGGATCTGCAGGGAAAGTGAGTTAGATAAGAAAATTTTAAAAAAGTTGTTTGGTTAGACAAAATTTTACCAGGAAAATTTGAGTGAAATTCCTGAATATATGTTTAGTTGAAGATAAAATATTGATGGAAAAATTTATTGAAATTACAAAATTATCTTTTTAAAAATAACCCTATAGGACCTATTATCCCTTTCATGTGTGGGGGTAATTGTGTCACCTATTTGTACCACTTTTCACTTATTCGGTTTTCAAAGACAAGTATCACCTTCTATGATGCTTTCTGGAACCGTCATTTTGTTGCTTTTTACATGCAAAACATGATAGCTAGGCAACTTGCTTTGATGGGTAAAATTAAAGACATCTGTGAACCAAAAAACATGGACAATTGAATATGTGAGAATCACTTTGCTGAGAAACAATAAAAAAACTCTTGAACCAAACACCATCTTATGGACTTCCTCCTACCCGTGCAAGGCGCACTGTATTCCTTATATTGCAAAAAGTATAAGGGTATAACTGATAAAAGAGTAAATCATATGGGATTTTATGTATTTTGTATCTTTTTCTAATCAAAATTCCTTAATCCTTATTTTTTATTTAAAAGTATTTTTTAGATATTTATCCAAATATAAAATACATCTACTTTTTAAAAATTCATTCTAAATAAGCAATGCATAAATTATTATTTTTTTCAAAAATCCATTGACACTGATCCTAACTATTGCAATTGAGAGTGCAAGATAATTTTTTATTTTTAAAAAAACATTAATTAGAATGTGATTTTATGTAATTTATTTTTGCGAAAAGTTAAAATACCCCTATTGTGATTTGCCTTTCAATCACTTAACTCTCACCCCACACCCCACACACTTTTTTTTATCATTTACTCCTATGTTTTTTTTTATCATTTACCCCTATGCTTTTTTAATCTAAATTCCAACTTAATAGTGTTAAAGTTTCTAATTAATATGATTATTCTACCTTCGGATCATTTTTTTTAACATTAAGATTACTTGTTAACGGTTTATCAAGTTTAATAGATTCGCCCTCTGAAACAAGAATAGATTCGCCCTCTGAAACAAAAAGTTCAATTGATATATTTCTACAAATAATTGAAATTCAATTTCTTGATCTTTATTTCCAAAGAGCCCTCTGAAACAAGAAGTTCAATTGATATGTTTCTACAGATAATTGAAATTCAATTTCTTGATCTGTATCTTCAATCTTTGAAAACTTAGTAGTGATAACATGTGGACTTAGTAGTGATAACATGTGGACCGGCAAAACAAGTTCAGCTCGACAGGCCAACCCACTTCATCCGCCTAACGGGACAAAACAGACTCATTTTTTGGCTGAGAGAAATGGATTAGTATAAAACAAGTTCAGGCTAGCAAGCCAACTCGCCTGCCAAACAGAGCAGCAATGGCTGATTATGGGTTAAAGAAAAGAATATTTAGTGTAAGGAAATTATTTGTTTCAATTTTCAAATGATTCTTAAAAACACCTAGGTAGAAAATGATTTCACGTACTTTAATAATTAAAAAAAGTGAAGCCTAAAGAAATCTCAGCGATTTTGCCAAGCATTTACACCGACATAAGATAAAATGGCTTACGGTTTCGGGATAATCAGCCCAATTTTCATAATATAGAGGATAAACCTCGGTTTGATTTAAAAAATGAGCATCACCGCTACAACATACATCAGATCTACCTAAAATCACAGATACCTTGGATTATATGAGGTTGCATCCCTTCCAAGAATCTTTACATCAGTACAAGCATGGTTAGCTCCATATGCAAATTCGCTATGGCTGAAACTCAGAATAAGAACGTTGGTGAATTATACGCAAAGTTCCCCAGAGTATGAAACAGTTTACCTGCCCCGTACACTGGCAGGAGATTGACCACATCTCTCACTGCCAATATCATCATCTACTTCGCTACTATCTAAACAAAGACCATTTTGGTTTACACTCACTTCAGAACTAGCATTACTGCTCGTGGCATGAGGAGAACCCGAAACACTAACTGTTCGGCCACGCTGAGGTCCAGACCTCACGCTATACATGGAAGATGCTGGAATATTTGTCATCAATGGCCGTAAATTACCTGGAATGACTCTCCTTATATCCTATTCAAAGAAGAAACAAGCAAAATGATGAGAAACGAATCACACAACTTAATCAGTTCTAATCAATCTGGTAGAACAATAAATAGAATGTAGAGAAGATGCGCACCATATGTCTAATGGCCATATCCAAGGACTTCTTTGAAAGTGTTCTTCCAAAACCTGAGCTATCTGGAGATGAAGATGACTTGCCAGACAGATTACTATGGGGAGAGTTTTTGTCATCCATCATTGGTGGTGCTAGTTTTCGCATGTTTATAACCCTATCAACCATTTTGGTGCCAATTACAACAGGACTGACATTGTCATTCACTTTGGAGTGCCCACGGCTGACTGCTGGCATAGAGTTTCCACTGGTATGAACAATGCCATTGGAAGACCGTCCTCTTGAAGGAGAGCATGATTGCCGCTTGGGTCTTCCACTAGAAGAAGGCTCAACAGATGAAGAACGAGAAGTGGGTGCTCCGGGCCTGCCCCTAGTTGCTGACAGTGGCCTTTCAGGTAGTGTTGTCCTCAAATTGGGCGGAGCATCAAGGGAAAAACCTGGCATCTCAGATGGTTTCCATGGTCTTGATCTCACTGTTGGTGAAGTGCCACGTGATGGTACTGGCTGCCTTGAGACCACAGGAGCTTGCTGCCTCGCCTTCACAGGGGTTGGCTGCCTTGATGTCACAGAAGCTGGCTTGAAGCTTGAAGAAATCTTAGCTGAAGGAGCAGATATACTGGGTTCACTTGATGGTGTGGATGGTAGGCGAGTAGGAGTAGAAGCTCTTGATGTGGACCTGGAAGGAGGTAAAGTAGGCCTGCTAGTTGGTGTTGAAGATCTTGCAGTAGATCTTGACAAAGGTGTTGAGGATCTTGATGGAATTGTGGATTTAGCTGCAGGGACTGAGGTCTTAGTAGCAGACATGGATGGCTTAGGGGCAGAAACCATGGGCTTGGTTGTGGAAATTGTGGTCTTGGATGTAGCTACCATGGTCCTAGTTGAAGGTAAGGCAGTCCGAGTAGGTGTTGAAGATCTTGATGATTTTGAAGATGTGGTCAATGTAGGGCGTCCAGTAGGAGTTGCAGGTCGGGATCCTGGACCCCCGGATGATGAGGGCCTCCTAGTTCCACCACCTGAAGAGCTCAACCCGGGGGAGGAATTTGGTTGTTTAGATACTAAGTTAGTCCTCCCAGCAGGCTCTGATTGATGATTTGCCAACTATAATCACAAGGAAATAATTAAAAGAAAAATGAATTTCTGACACTATATCAACAACCAAACCAATTCTCAATAGGTGAGATCAGCTACATGGATCAATCGATGCCATTGAGCTCAATCAAAAATTAAATTTTCAGTAAAGCACTAATGGATCCTTACTTTGGAAATCTCTATAAAGATACGGAGCATCATCATTTTTATCAATATATAAAGTAAAAAACAAGAATGATCAATTTACTCGATGATATCTATAAATCTCATTCTCAATCCATATTTGATGTAACATGATACTGAAAGCAAGGGTCCTTTAATAAACAAACAAATCAATTAAAGCATGGGACGGCAAATCTGTAAAGCATGTAATATGATGAGAAGCCAATTTCATGTAGTCCAAGGATATCATTGTTTTGAGGGGCAGTGTACACTAACAAGTCATTTCTAGTCAGGCAGCAGGAGCTGAAAATATGCAATAATAACTGACAAATTGTATCGGCCACTTGTTAATAACACCAATTTCTGCTCAAGGTCAAGTTCATCATGCATACTGCAATAATAATAACAACATTTCTAACAAAAGTAGTTTTCTCAAAACCAGGAACTTACAAGGAAAACTACCATTTCACTAGCAACGTCAAACCAGACACAAGATGTACATCTGCCAATTACCAAAAAATAATTGACATGATCTGAAAGCTTAAATTGAAAATGCTTACTCTGGATTTTAATGCCACAGGACGTGCGGTTGGAGTACCAAGCTGACTCATAACAGTCTTTCGAGTTTCCATTTCCAAAGAAGGAAAAAGAGGAGTACCAGGAGGAGTTAGAAGCCTGAAAAGACATTAAACATGCTAAGCTCCAATTTGAACATTAATTTGTTCTGGCTTTACATCACTTTGAAACATTAACAAGGCCCATGTCAATTACATACATAGCAGATGGAGCAAAAAAAAAAAAAAACTGCAATCTATGGAAAATGCATAGAAAGGGCATAGAAAGGTACCACATACCAATCATAGTCATTTTTATCATTTTCCGAATTAAGAAAATCATCAGCACCAGTCTTCCGCACAAGAGCCGGCGTAGATGATGAAATGTTAAATAAGGGAGAAGTGCCCGGATTTGACCCTGCAACCATGAAAAATCATATGACAAAGAGAAATCCAACAACTAAAACACCATATTCAAAAACTGCACTGCCCAATCAACACAATGATTTTGCGGTTCTTCATCCACTTAAAGTCTTAAACCACATGGGAAATTAACAAAAGCAAGTTTCACATACTATGATGCTAATCTCAGTCAACTAAACAAGAGAAACAATGCAAAGAAGCAAATCCTCGAAAAACCTCAACCTAAAAAAAATAAAAAAGAACTTTCGAGCATAAATATATACCCAGAGCTGTATCGAGCTCCTCTGAGCTGTGAAGCAGAAGATCATTCCTCTCCTTCTCACGCTTCTTCATCTCGAGGAACAATGCTAGCTCCTCGTCCTTTTCCTTCATGACCGAAGCCCTCAAACCCCCGAATTGCTGCTCCCTCTGCTTCAACGGAGCTTGCATTTGCGATTCCTGAGCCCTGAAACTACGATTCATCCCCAAAATCCAAACGGCACGAACCCTAAATCCCCGAAAGCCCCAACCGAAAAAACTTAACTTAGTTTCTCGTCGACTTCACCAAACCAATAACCGCAGGTTCCTACACCTAATGTACCGTGAACTCTCCCAAAAATAGAAAAATAAATAAATAAATGCTGAAAATCTGTCGCAAAGTTCAAATCTGTTCGGAAAAAACAAAATGCTCGCAGTTCGAACCAAACGACATTGTCACAAACAAACAAACGCAGAAACGAAACGTATTATAGAGAGCACCATTGTCGAGTAGCGAAGGTGAGAGTGAGAGGCGCGTGGGGAAGGAAGGAAGAGACAGAGAAAGAGATCGGAAAACGAGAATTTTGAGTTTGACGGTGAAGGGAGAGGATTGAGGAAAAAGAGGGAGTGGCAGTGAGTGGTAATATAAGTAATTGTTGAAGTGCAAATTGGTGATAAAAGGAAGAAGAGACGCCGTTAAACTGTTGTTGTTCCTCTTTATTGACGCCATGTTTCATTGGTTAAGAACGAAAGTACAAAAATATCCCTCTCCTTGTGTATTCGGCTTTTTGAATTTTTGCAACGGTGTAGCCCACCATTATAATATTACAGAGAATAATGTTTATTGTAGATAATCAAATAACGATAGCTCAAATTATTTTTGGGATATAACAAGATAAAGTCTAATAGTATAAGATTTTATTAAATTTTAATATTATTTAACAAAAATATTAATATTAAATTTATATAATTTTCCCAAATATATCATATGATATTAATTTTTATAAAGACCTGTTGATCAGTGTATCCAAAAAATATATTATTTTTTATAAAAAAAGTCTCTAATATTTTAAATAATACATTAATTTTTTAGAATTGCATTATTTAATATATCAATCCCTTATTAGGCCTAGTCCTACCATCTTAGGGCATGTTTGGTGTGATGTATAAGGTCTTATACTATACGTTATGACATTTTCAGTTGTTTGGTGTGACCATCGTATAGTATAAGCTTATACAGCAGAATCACCTAATACATCAAAATGATGTATAACTTAATCCGGCCTAAGGAGGAGGGATTAGGCCTGATAAGGGATTACTGTATTAACATCGTTGACCAGCGCAATTCTCAAAAATTATATTATTTTAATATTAATATATTTAAATAAAAATTAATTTTTCAATATATTAAATTTTAAAATATTGAATATTTTTTTATAAAAATTTATTTATTTTTTGGACACACTAATCAATAGATTTTTATAAAACTTAATATCATATGAAATTTTTTGAAGAATTATATAAATTCTTTATTAAAAGATATTTTATTAAAAGATATCTTTATTAAAAGATATTTTATTAAAAATATTTATTTTATCCTATATAGTGCATTACCAAATATTAGATGATATTATCTTATACAATATATTATTTTATACAATACCATGTCAAACGCTGTATAGTATTAAAATTCAATCAGGTCTTATACAATCAGACTTTATACTATATGGTCTTATACTATCAGGCCTTATCTATACTGTGTATAAAACATGCCCTCACACTATAGATAAGGCCTGATAGTATAAGACCATATAGTATAAGGCATGATTGTATAAGACCTGATTGAATTTTAATACTATCAAGCGTTTGGCATGATATTGTATAAAATAATATATTGTATAAGATAATATAATTCAATATTTGGTAATGCAGTGTATAATACTAGATAGGATAAAAATAAATATTTTTGACAAAAATACCGTTTAATAATAAATTCATATAATTCTTCTAAATATATCAGATAATATTAATTTTTATAAAAATCTGTTGATCAGTGTATCCAAAAAAATATATTAACTTTTATAAAAGTAAAAATCTCCAAAATTTAAAAAAATAATATATTGAAAAATTATATTATATTTTAATATATAAATATTAAAATAATATATTAATTATTGAGAATTGCATTGGTTAATACATCAACCCTTTATCAGGCCTAATCCTACCCTCTCAGGTCTGATTAAGTTATAAATCATTTTGATGTATAAAGTGATTCTACTGTATAAGTTTATTATATAAGATGGTCATATCAAACAACTAAAAAATGTCATAACGTACAATATACGCTTATACTGTTAGGTCTTATACAGCACACCAAACAGGCCCTTATGCCTGATTAAGTTATACATCATTCTGATGTATAAAGGCATCCTACTGACTACTGTATAAACTTATACTATACTATGGTCACATCAAACAATTAAAAATGTCATAACATATAGTATAGGCTTATTATCATGCCTTATACATCACGTCAAACAGGCACTCAGTTGTCGCATAAGAGTTGAGCAGTTGAGAATGAGAATATATATTTGATTTTTCCCATAATCATTTTTGGAAATGATTTAAAACCTTAACTTTGGACCAGCCCCATATAGTATTGCCTCTCGTGGAAGATATTTGTGATTTATTTAAAAAAAAGTTTCTCGTCAATAAATTTTATCTCCTATACACATTAAAGTATATGAGACCATTTTTTTTTCTCTTCTCGTGATCCCACATGGTCCCACACACTTTTACGTGTATATGGAAGATATAATTATTCCGTATAATATGAGAAACATTAAACATAATATTATAATAAGCTATTAAATACATATTATCAGTATTATTAGACCCGACTTGAATCAGTCGGGTCAATTCGAACCCGATGAACCGATCATTTTACCGATTCGAGTCAATTATCAAACCGGTCATGTATCAGACCCGATGAAAATCGATTCGAAACGATCGGGTCTTATCAACACCAGTGACCTAGTCGGGTCATTAAAATAAGCAGGTCATGCATTTTTATAAAAAAAAAATCAAAAATCAAAGTTGTCTCCTCTTATCATAAAAAAGTGTGGAACTTCTTTAAAAAATTTATAGTTTTGTTTTCTATTAGTATAAGCTCTTACATTGACCTTAAACTTTAGCTTCAAAAACTAAAACAATTTGCGGAACAGAAGATTAAAAGAATGTGATGTATTGATTCCTTGCAAATCTATTTTTATGGGAAAAGTTTTTAGTAAATTCTTTATATTATTAAACATGGTTAGTTGAGAATATTTGGTAGAAAAATTATATGTTGTTATGTGCTTGAATTTTTTTTTTTTTTTTAATATACTATATGTGATTGTCGTATATGACTTTTTTTATTCCTATAAAATGTATATATATTTGCAGCCTACATAACAATTTTTTATATATATTCAAGTGTTTTATGCATTTTTATAGATAAAATATAAATTTTTATATATTAATGACCCACAGTATTCCGGCCGAATCAACGTCCGAATCGGATCCGATAACATTGCATATTACCAAGGACAGAAACAATTGCATATTTTTAGAACATCGCTTAAAGTTATATGGTCACATCATTCATGTTACGTGACATTCTAAGAATAAGGCATGCCCTTTCATAATAGTATTTTCCTCCCGATATGGTTTCAACGAGTATTGGTCTATTGCCTTCACCTCCGCCCAGCGAGTTCGAGGGCTTTTTGATTATATTAAGGGATTTTTGTTTTAAAATATATATTTATTTAATTTATTTTAAAAAAAATATTTTAATCGTATATATTAGTTATAGAAGACAAGTCCATCAAACTTCGGAGAATTAGTATTAATGCGAAAGTCTCATATATTAATAGCACATAATTTTTTAAGTCATGCTCGTTTACCGTACGTATTAAGCTTAAGTTTCAATGTTTTTATAATAAATGTAGATAAATTATTTATATTTGTTTCCAAAATAATATTAAGTTAAAAAATTAAAAAATTCTAATAAAAAAGATAATTATAACCTTAAAATAAAATATACTTATAAAAATACCTTAATTTCCACCTTAAAATAATATCATTTTAAATTCAATATATATAAGATATTTAGATTGACTATAAAAAAAAAGTGAATCCTTAAACTTATGTACGGAAGTTTCGCACAGTATTAGATTTCACAAGATTTATTATAAATAAAAAAGTGAATCCTTAAACTTTTGTACGGAAGTTTCGCACAGTATTAGATTTCACAAGATTTATTATTTCACAAGATTTATTATAAATGACAATGTATATGAGTTTTGTAATTGTATATATCGTGCGAGACTTATATGTTGACACAAAATCCGACATAATTTATCAACATGCAAATTTTGAAAAATATATTAGTATGATATACTTATATTGCCAGCTGTTTTATCATGGTAAAAAGCCCGAGCGAGGGAATCGTTTTTCTTATGATTTTTGTTGGACGTTTGTCCCTCGTATTTAGTGTTAATTATTTTGTTTAGTGCTTTTTTATTTTATTTTTGTCTCTTCGGGTCTTGGAACGGTGGAACCTCTTTGTTTTCTCCACTAACATTTTTTTTCCTCATTTTTTCACTTATTTGTTTTATATATATATATATATATATATATATATATGATCTGGATAAAATACAAAAGGTTAAAATCCAAATATCAAATCCCAAACACCTGCCCATATAATACGCAATATCTACATCGCGCATAAAGAATCAAGGGGCGCAATGGATTCATCGCGCTTAAAACGCCTACGACATAACTCAGAACTAAGGAAGAAATCCATAATACGAACAAGGAACCATCGCGTCATGAGCCAATACTTTAAGGACAACACCAGCTTGCCACCACTCTACAAAGGTAGCTTGACCTATAGAGGTATAGCCAGAAAGGCATCAGTTAAGAACAGATAAACCTGCAGCCCATAAACGGTCAATTAGAAGACATATTGCCTACCAAATGTGGCATCAGATTTATTATATAAACAAGGGGTACACACCCAGATACAACAATCAAATTCAGTAAGAAAATAACATAAGCATTGCTTAGATACTGACTTGAGCGTCGGAGTATCTTTGCAGGTACCCCCAGTCAGAGTCATCGCGCCAAGGGAGATCATCACAAACTCACCTCATAACTGCCATCTCTAGCCCAAGGAGCACATTACCTAACTAAAAGCATTCATTCTTCAACCGTGTATGATTAGGTCCGATACATATTGGCCCTACCATATTGTACTGGTCCGATCAGTATATATATATATACAGGCAAGATCTTTTAATACCGTGATAAATTTTAAAATTTGACACCAAATTTTAAATTCACATAAATATAAAAAAAAATTATGTCACATATATATATATATATGGTAAAATTATTTCTGCAGTCGCTTTATGTACAACAACGACAGGTGTATGAATATGATTCTCCACATTTAATGCTTTCATCCCTTTGTATAGTTATAATCCCCTGCATTTAATGTTTTCAAGTATATATATGACAAGTATTTGATTGTTCACGTATAATAGCTGCAGAAATATAAATCCCTATATATATATATATATATATATATATATGAAAAAAACTACTCTTATGCTATATGTGGTAAATTTCTCTCCTACGCACTATTCGATAACTGTGGCATCTTTTTTTTTTTTTTTCAGGTGGTAAGTTTCCGTGCATCTAACGGTTGAGATTTATTGGGAATTAAAAATTAATTAATGAGTGACACCTAATAAATCTTAACCGCTAGATGCAGAAAATCAATGGTTAAGATTTGGTGTAAGACGTATTATTCTTACACCGGTGTAAGATGATCCTGCACCATATATATATATATATATATATATATATATATATATATATAGGAAGAGACTTTTAGCTTCATGCCGATACAGGAAATAAAGTACTGTGCCATGTTTTGTTTTTCTTTTTTATAATTAAGTGGGTCTCGTATTCTTTAATGGGATATATTTTTCTTATATTGTAGGAAAAAAATTACCTCATGTTGTAAAGATAAAAGTATAAGTGAGATCCACAGGTAAGAGGAGAGAGAAAAAGAGTAGTGTGATCCAACCCTTTTTTGTGTGTAAGAAAGTTATTTATCTCATATAAAATGAGATAAACATAACCCTTCTTTAACATGTCCTGAAACATAAGATTTGCTTTCCTCGTGTATATATATATATATATATATATATATATTATGGAAAAAATTGTCTTTTTAAAAGATCTAATTTTATGTAAGATTTTCATTATGTAAATATTCGATCAAAGCTATTAAATGAGAATAGAAAGTGATAAAAAAATTGGGACAAATAATTAAAAAGATAAAATTATCCTGAATCATATAAATATGATATTATAACTTTAAAAGTATTATGATAAATTAAAAATATAAAGAAAAATATACAACAAACAAACATACAATGAAGATTACTTTTTAAAGAAATGTGACTCGTGAAAAATTTATAGATAATTTTTACCAAACCAAAATTTCAGTATATTTAAGATAATTAATGGTCATATAAATAATCCAAAGTAATTGTTATTTTTACCAAACCATATTTTCAGGATAAGAACCATGATGATTAATTCATTAAAAAGATTTCATAAAGAAATACAAGTAGGACTTCGTTCATGTCTTACATTTTGAACTCTGTTTGTTTTCTATTCGGGAGCTAATTGGACATGGGCTTGTCCTTAAATTATTGTGCATGTTTAAAAAATGTTTAATTTTAAGTAGTCATATACTCACATCTCTTTAAATTCTCCTAATATTTTTAATAAAATTTATAAATTTAACAAGTTTTTTTTTTTTTTGAGTTACCCAACCCTAATTATCTCTTTGAGACGAGTTGGCTCCCTCCGGTATCCCCACGAGCTTCGACTCTTTGAGCCGGCTATGAGACTAATCTGGAGTGCGGGGGAACAGTGATGACTAAAGGTTCAGCCCCTCCCCAAGAATGCATTCAGCGGGAATCGAACACATATCCAACCCCACTAACTCAGCGCCAAGTTACCAACTGAGCTGCACCCATTGGGTATAAATTTAACAAGTTAATTCAATAGGTTTAATGTTTCTGTTTTTGATATAAATGAAAATTCTATGTCACACTCACGTAAAAGTAAGTGAGTCACACTAATTTTTTTCTATCTTCTTTTTATAAGGGGACCCACTCATTTTTATTTTGCATGTTTAAAAACAGAAATATTTTCCCCTAATTCAATTAGGTATTTAGAAGGTGTGATTTTGATTGTTTTAGATAAAAAAAAATCTCACTAAAAATTTTCAAAAAAATGATTTTATTTATGAATTATTTTAAATATAAAATATGATTTAATTATACACTTAAAAAGTTATCCACTAATTTTTTTTGAGATAATCCAATCTCTTTATCGCTTCGTAACTAGTTCAATTCGGAGCGACAATCCTTCAAAATATTAGTATTGGAAAAAATCAAATACATGCTCTCACTCCATCATTTTCTCTTTTCTTTTTTAAAGCTTCAATTATAGTATTCCAGTTCTTTAAATTTAAATGACTTGTTCATTCACGTTGGAAGATTTATTTTTGTACCTTTTACGTTGTTTAATTTAAAATTAATTTTTTAAGAATAATAATATCATAATATATTATCAAAATAATATTTATTATATTATATATATGTTATAAATTTTTTTATCTCATATAATAAAAATAAAATCATAATAAGAACAGAAAAAAAATATGACTCAACTTTTTTTGGGTTGTATAAAAGTTGGGAAATAATTTTCTTATGTTGTAGGAAGATGCTTATCTTATGTTGTAGAAACAAGATTGCAAGTGGGACCCATAGGTAAGAGGAGAGAAAAAAAAAAAGAAATAGGACCCACCTAACTTTTGTGTGTGTAGGAAATGTAGTTATCTTATGTAAAAGTAGATAAATATAACCCATAAAAGTTATATTGTAGGAAAAGTGATTGTGTCATATTATAGAGATTCATTTCTGTATCTTAGTTTTTTTTTTTCAAAAAATACTGGCCCCATAGAATAATGTGCGTAGGAAAAATGATTGTATCATATTACATATATTACATGATGAATATCAACCTCTTTTTTATGTGTTAGAACTTAGAAATTTAATTCTCCTAACCCATTCTTTAAAATAGCTTGTCCTTTTTGTTTTTTCGATATTGATATGAGTTGTTGCGTTTCACGTTGACATGTTCTTTGCCATATTGTGCAAATATTTAAATAAATAAAAAATGGAAATCTTAGAGAATAGTGTCTGAAACTGAAGATTGAAGAAGCCTCTGATCTACTAGCGAAGAAAAGTATTGGCACATCGATAGATTAGATATCCATATGTACGTCGTCGTTTTGGCCCAAAATCTCCATTTCCTCTGAACCGAAGAAGAAGAAGAAGAAGAAGAAATGGCGGGGAAGATCAGGAACGAGGCTAGCAGTAGCAGCAACCCAAAGGAAAGCGTTGTTGTTGATTTCGGAAGGCGTCGAAGCTCTTGCGGCTATTGTAGATCCAACGGTCCCAGTAGCATCTCTCACGGTCTTTTCCCCCCCCTCCTATTCTCTCTCTTTCTCTTTCGTTTTCTTTTCCCTAAAATTTCATGAATTATCGTCTTTATCTTAATTGGGTTTTCGGTTCATTGTTGGATATTTGGTTGGTTTCTCTCTCAATTTTGTTGCTTTTTCTAGCAGTTCAATCCCCTATTCGAGTAGTTGGTTTCGTTGATAGAAAAATCTAATCTTAGCTACATGGACACGGGGTTGTTTAGCTCTTCTTCTGTGGAAAACTAAAAAAGTTTAGATTTTTAATTAAAACACAAATTCGATGTTTGAAAAGTGGGGGTGAATTTTTAAGCTTTGAAATTGTTGGACATGAAATTCTCACTTTGATTCTGAATCGCACTGTATAGTTGTCAAATTCGGTTGGACTAGACGAGCTTAGACTGTTTTTATTTTAATTCTAGCGTTTCTTATTGTTTTAAGGTTTTTTTTTTTTTTTTGGTGTGGGTTTTAAGGTTTTTTGTTGGTGGGGTGAAGAAAACTTTGTAGCCTTTATTCTGGACGAGGATTCTTTCACTTTAATTAAGTTCTCTTTCATTTCTGATAAGATGGATTAAGCCTGCAAAATCTTAAATTCCCGAAGCATTTGTTTTTATGTTTTTGTGTACTTCGATTTAATTTTTTAGTTTACTTACAGGACTGGACTACTCCATGGACCCTAACAGTTAAATTGATTGTTCTGTCTAGAATATATGTATTATTGTCATACATTTTCTAATTGTGCATGCACACTTGTGTTCTGGTCGTGCTGAATTGCGTAATTGTTATGTGATTCGTATACAGACACTTCTGCTAAGCTTGGTGGGAGCAGCAAGTTGTTAATGCCTTCGTGGGTGCTTAATTTCCATATTGGAAAATCATGCCATTACAATATTGATGATAGATGAGATTTAGTGTCATTTTTTTCTCTATTTTTTGATTGTTCTCTTGCCTTCTTCAGACTTACATTAATGTAATGAACCAATTTCCTAATTATTTCTTTTCTTTCTTTTTCTCTTGTCAAAGGCATGTGGGCACATAGACTTACAGTGGATGACTATCAAGGTTGGTGTAGTTTGTTCTTTTTTTGTGCTTGACACTCTTCTCAGTTCTATATTGCTGATTGTTTGCATTATATAACTTCTGATTATGAGTAAGAAAATGTTAAGGCATAGATTAACAAGCCTGATTTTTGCAATGTGAAGTGATGTAACTGTTACATGGTTTGGATTTGGGACTTTATATGTTTATTATTGCAAATCAACATTGATGCAAGTGTATTCACATTACATAATGTTCCAAATTTATGTCTGTTTTTTGGAGAGATATATAGCTTTTGTCATTTAGCTGATGATAAAAAAACTTCGATTTGACACTCTAAATTTATTTGCTGATATGGCTTTGTTCAGATTAATTCAATTTCATTTTATTCTCTTTTGCTAGTTCTTCTTGATCGGGGCTGGAGAAGATCTGGATGTTTTCTTTATAAACCAGAGATGGAAAGGACATGTTGCCCTTCCTACACAATTCGCTTGAAAGCAAGTGACTTTGTTCCTTCTAAGGAGCAACTTCGTGTATCTAAACGAATGCAAAGGTATGCTTGTTTCATATTATGATATTTCTTAAGGCAAATACTTTACTTTTATTTTTTCAAGTTCAAATACTTTTAAAGCATCTTTATAGACATAACATGGGTGTTTATTGGACAATTAACTTGAACTGCAACCTAAAATTTTTCTTTCGGGGTGGGGTTGGAGGTGGGTGAAAATTTGAATCGCAACAATGTATTACCTTAAGATGCTGCTTATTCTTTCCTTTCCTTTATTCATGCGGGAGTTTTCTAGGAGGATGAGTACATTGGATATCTGTATTTTTCTAGTACTAGAAATATGCTTCATTTGATATTTGTAGCCCGTAAGTATTTAAATTTTACATTTTCTTTGTTCTACCTTTCTCACTAACAATTCTATCTGCCTAGGTTTTTAGATGGAACCTTGGATGTTAAAAGAGTTCATGTCTTGGAGGACCCAAATACTTCCAAGAAATCAGAAAGCTTTGTCAATCATAACTACTCAAGACCCATGTCAGAAGAATCCCTATCTGCTGGTAACGAAGAGGAGGATGAGGTTGAAAAATCTATGCACTATTTATCAGATCAAATTGATAATGTAGTACACATGTTCATTGAGAAGGGGGAATTTCCCTCTGGTATTCAATTACCAAAAGCTTCAGTCAGAAAGGTTTCGCAGGGAAAAAAAAAGTTGCTAGTCAATGGATCAGAAGATCTTCTATATAGTAGCAATATAGCCTTTCAAATTGCAGCATCTATAAAACGAGCACAATCAAGTGACAAGGATGGCAATGATTCCAAATCATCTAGAGCTTGTGAAAAGGAGAACGGGTCATCTCCTAAAATTATTGCCGAAAAGCTGGTAGCATCTTTAGATCCAACAGTGAAAAATTCTGAGCTGTCTATCAGGGCTTGCAACGGACATATCAATTTTTATGCTTCTAGTGAGCCAGTTTCCCTGAGTGGAAATGTTCAAAATGCTACAGTTCCTAAAGCGTCTGGAATGAAGCGTGATATTGGAGGAAGTTGTTTGATTAGTTCTCAACATTGTCAAGTAAAAAGGAGAAAGCTTGAGATCCGTTTGAACAGGTCCAGTTTTGATCCAGAAGAATTTGCTTTGTATAGAAGATATCAGCTCAAAGTACACAATGATAAGCCGCACAAGATCACAGAGAGCTCATATCGCAATTTTCTGGTTGATACTCCATTGTTACCAGTTTCTCCTACTGGTGATAGCACAGTTCCTCCTTGTGGTTTTGGCTCTTTCCATCAACAATATTTAGTAGATGGCCAGTTAGTGGCAGTTGGTGTTATAGATATCCTTCCCAGATGTTTGTCAAGTAAATATTTGTTCTGGGATCCAGACTTTGCCTTTCTATCGCTGGGCAAGTACTCAGCGCTTCAAGAAATAAATTGGGTGAAAGAAAACCAGGTTTATTGTCCTAGTCTTCAGTACTATTATCTTGGTTACTATATTCACTCTTGCAGCAAGATGAGATACAAAGCTGCATACCACCCGTCAGAGCTTTTGTGTCCCCTTCGTTATCAGTAAGTTATTCCATTTGAAACCACTTTATCAAGCTTGCAGTTTATTCATGACTTTTTAGAGCATTTACTTTGTCTCAAACTCTTGTGGCGTGCTTTCAAATATTTCTCTTAACCTCTCTTTGATACAATTCTCGGTGCAATCTGTATGCCTATGGAATAGATGATGTAAAATGATTATTGCACCATCATATCTTCCAACATATAAGTATGTTACATAGTCATTGTCTGGATTTTTTTTCTGAATTTTGATCACTTTTTGCCTTCCCCCTATATTTATGTAAATAAGGCTGATGAGCCTTATTTTTATTTCTACTTCTTTTGTCCTCTTATATATCTTTATTTCATTTTATTTTAATTTATTTCTCCTTTTAATTGTTTATTTTTTTTTTATGGATATTGTTATATATATATATATATATATATAAATTTTATTTTTATCTTTTTCCTCAACCTTTTTGTACTTTTAATTTGGGTCCATCTACCACCAACTCCAACTAGTTTGAGATAAAGGTTTTGTTGATGTTGATGTTGATGTTGAAGGCTGACAAGCGACGGCTATGTATGATCTCCAGGTGGGTTCCATTTGGCATTGCAAGGCCTTTGCTTGACAATAGGCCATATGTTGTCTTATCAGATTCTTCCATTTTACAAAATGGAGAGCTATCCCTACCTCAAGTTTCTGATGATGTAATGGGAAGTCAGCTTGATGACATTGGCCAAGAAGATGCAAATGATGTTCCAATGGATGAAGATGAAGAAACGGCTGAGTCTGACTTGGAAAACTCTGATGATGAACCTGGCCTAGAAACCACTTCATATGGTGAACCAGAAAACAGAGATGTCAGCAAAGTTTTGCTAGGGTTGAAGGGACCTCGTGTGAGATACCAGGTATGAATTACTCAAGTTGTTGGTGAATAAATACTCGGATTACTTCCTCGATTTAAGTTCCCAATCATCCTTACATATGTTAGCTATGAAAAATTGAAGAAGATGCAGTTATTACTATTTTGTCAAAATATGCTTCGAACTGATGAATCTCAATATGTTGTCTTCACGAAATAAGACCACTTTTTTTTTTCTGGTTAGTTAAATAAGACCACCTTTAATCCAATAACGTTAGACTCAAATCTTCTATTTCCTCTCCTTGTTCCTAATCCTGTCTCCCCAATAACATACTATATATCAACTAGGAGAAATGTAAATTTTTTTTCTTAGCAGTATTTTATTTGGAGGGAACAGGATTGGGGATTGGGAGAGGGGGAATAGGGTTCAAATCCAATAATGCTGGGAAAAATTAAGGGTGCATTTGATTTGTTTGTAGTTTTCATTTCTGTTGATATGTTAACTTACTAAAATAAGGGTTTAATGTTTCTCATGTTGTAGGAAATAAATTTATCTGCTACGGGACTTATATTTTCTCCTTTTCTCTCTTCTTCTCATATGAGTTCACATGGGTCCTACACATTTTTATGTATGTGTAGAAGATAATTTTATCTCCTACAACATGAGAAATATTAAACCCTACTAATAATAATTGTACAAATGCCACCTTGTTTTCAGTTTGTTTCTTGTTTTTAAGAATTTGCATAGGAAATGGTTAAAACATTTCCAAGAGGATACTAGTGATGTTGCTTTTTATTTAGGTAGACCTTTATGTTCAATAATAGCAACTACTGCATGGTTTGTACCTTTCTGGCCTAACTTCCTCTTTATCTATTTTTTACTTTGAATATACTGCAACTTTCACTTCTGAAGGATATGCGAAGTGTCATTGGTCCTGAGCAGCGGAGTTACTTGGAGTCCCAGTTGCAGAAATACAGGAAGGTTGTGGGTCCTATGTTATCTGAGAGAATGGTCTATTCTGTTGAATAATTTAATTTTTATCACTTGAGTTTAATAGGATGCTGCTGCTTATTTACCCAGGGGAAAAAACTTTTCTCTGCAAATGAGATCCATGTATTATGTAGTTGGAGCTGAATTTGGTCCCTAATTTTCTTAGGAATCATATTGGCAACAACAATTGTGTGAACCCTTTTAAGTTTTTGGTTAACGGATTGTTTTGTTTAACATGTCTTATTTGATAATCATATTTCTTGCTTTTATGTTTTTTGTTTTTGAAAAGAACTTTTATACATTTTTAATAACTTTATTTGTGATTTTTGATTCTTATTTTGTATATTTAATACAATAGTTAGTAGATATTCTTTGTTAAAAAAAAAATAACTCTTGAATGGATGAATTCTTAATGTAAAGAAAGTAATGTATCTTTTAGCTTATGAACAAGTTTTCAATATTCCAAAACATAATCGGGATTAATGTTTTTTATGTTGTAGGAAATAATTTTATTTTTTACACATACACGAAAGTATATGGGGTCCATGTGTGGTCATGTGAAGAGAAGAGAGAAAAAAAAATGAGTTTACATAATTTTATATGTGTGTAGGAGATAAATTTATCTTTGAGAAACACTAATCCCGCTAAACAGAAAGAAGAACGAAACAAGGATTGTGAGAAAATATTATTCTTTTTTTTTTAATTTTTTTTAATCAAAAACACTAAATAACAATAGGGTTCTCAAAGCCTTAAATAAGCAAAAATAAAATAACAAAAAAAGTAAATAACTATAATCATGCGCAATCAAAGGAGATAACGCACAATCAACGCATACTCAAACATAATCTAAAATAACAAAAGGAAATAACTAGTAATCTATTGATAGTGTTTTATTAAAGACTAAACTTCTATTCGAAATGTTTCCATAAATCCTACTATTTCTAAAATGAGTTAGGATATTCATATTATTATTTCAGCGACTTTTTTTTTCCTCTTTTTCAGTTAATTTTTTGCTAAAATATTTGATTTAATGGTAATTAGAGTGATAATGGATTGATAGTAAAAAAAATGATAATAATATTTATCTATTTTAACACAGAAATTAAGACTAATTGCATTACCCTATGAAAATCTGAACTTGCCAATTCTTAAAAAGTGCAAACACTATAAACAAATTTATCCTTGGAATTAAAATCTTTTTAATTGGATCCAGAACCTAAACAGTGAACGTGCTACACAAGCTAAAGTTAATTGTCAAATTAAAAGTTTTTATATTGGGAGCTTAAACAAGTTGACCCTGTAGCCCAACACTTGTTTACTTAGTCTAGACTAGGCAGAAATAACACTTAGGTGGGTCGACCTAACCTCTAAGTTGTTCTAATTATAAAATAACGCTGAGATTGATATTTCACTCGGGGCGTTGAATAGAAGAGATATTTTTTTTATTGAAAAAAAAAAGATTTTCAGGAATATAGTGAGAAATTTTTTTTTTCGGATAAGTTGCGAAAATGTGTTTGTTATGTCTAAATTTTTTCTGAAAATATTGAGTTAATTATACTAATTCTCTGAGAAAATAAAAATACCATGTATTAGATAGTATTTTCATTTAAGATTCTGTAGTTAAAATTAAAATGATGAAAAAAAAATTTCCCAATAATATTTTCAATTTTTTGGTACCAAACATTGAATTTTTTTTTTGCCCATCCCACTTTTCCAGGATTTCTAAAACAACCTTCATACACCTAACAGTGACATCACTTTTATATGTTGCACGCTACAAACCAATTTTATTGGATTGCATCCGTTAAATGAGTTTCTTATTCCATCCGACTTCCAATTGCAGTATAATAAAGCATCTCCCTCTTGAATTTTCCTTTGTAAGTTAAGTCGGTCATATATACATTCTTCTAACAGGGTTTTTGGTAGGGGCCTTTTGATTTCTTTCGGCAGAAAACTTGAAATAGATTTTGAACTTAACTGTGTTTGGTAGAACATTTAACAAAATTTAGGTAGGAGAATGCTTTCTCAGCCAACCCATTTTGTTTGCAAAATTTCTTTGAAAACACTGTTCCAGAAACCCATATTGATGGTGGTATTTTGGGTTTGATGGATAAAGAAAAAATTGAGCATGAAATTGCGGACCAAATTGTCGTTGGTACACTGTTAAAAGTATTTTTTAACTCAATTTTTCTGGTAATATTTTTACTTACCAAATAATTTTTTTTAAATTTTTCTATCAAAATTACTTTCACATCATATGCTTAATAATTGTATTTTTCTAGTAAAATTTTTTTCTTCTCTGTCAAACGCCCCTAAAGGAAGTTTAAGTACCTCTGTAGGAGAACCACAAATAGAGGCAAAGTACGTGGTTTGGTGTTTTATTTACAATTATGATGCGCTTCAGTTGACATTTCTTATTGAACGATGGAGTCTTTTGCAACTAGCCTATATCGGTTTCACATATATACTAAAGCTAATTACCATTCTTATCTTTATGATTTATCTATCGTTAATCCTTATGCCAAAATCACTCTTGTAAAAACCGGCACGATCCGGCCGGGTCTACCCGGAACCCGGTGAATCGGTCATCAGACCGGTTCGGGTCAAGCATTGGATCGGTTATGCATTCACCCGGTTAAAATCCGGACAAAATCGGCCAAAATCGGTGACCCGTCACCTGGCCGGGTCATGTTTTTTTAAAAAAAAAATCAAAAAACCAAAACTGTTTCATCTTATTAGAATAAAACTTATTTTAAAAACTTTTTATAATTTTATTTGCTAGTATATTCTTCTACAATGACCTCAAATTTTAATTTCTAATATTGGAGCAATTTGCGAAATAATAAATTAGAGAATGTGACATATGTCATTTTAATGTAGTTGAATTTAAAAAATATGAGTTCAATGTCATTGAGAAATATATTTATAGAAATTCTGAGTTACAATTTTAATTAACATAGTAATAGCATGCATTTTTATTTATTTATTCTTTATGTTTTTAAGCTTATTTAGTGAACATTTTGTAATTCATTTTAGATATGTATAATATAATTGAATTTATATGTTCATATTTATATATATTTATATATATCTATATATATCCGGATCAACCGGTCCGACCTGTAACCCACCGTTCTGACCAGTGACCCAATAACTCAGTATCCCGATCGGGTCGGTGTCCGGATCGAGTTTAACAACACTGACCAAAACATTTAGGAGGAAAATATTATTATTACCAATAATATTATTATGCACTCCTGCATCAAGACAAGAATTCCAATCTTTGCATCTCAATCCGGTTGTGTCAGTGTTTCATATTTAAGCAATACATTAGTTGGCATCAGTAGTGTACTGATAAAAAAACCTTTTCAAGAAGAAATTAACGTAAACTGAATCAACAAAAGTTTCGGCTATAGTACATAATTTTCAGTAATCTTTTATTACATTCCATTTACTCTAGAGAGACAGAGACAAGGTACTTGAAAGGCTTTCTTCATCCAATTATTGTGCTACAAATTGAAAAACAGGACCAATTAGAAGTTTGAATATTAGCTTTTCTATTTTTATATTTTTTAACATTAGAACCAACAATTAGATGTACTCAAGTTGCGTTGTTGACAGGGTTTGGCAATGTGCTGATTTTGCAAAATTTCTTGTATAAACCAACATTCATTGAGCAACGCAGGGATAAGGAATGTACAATTGGGAATGATAGGATGACTAAGCATCATCAGCATCACTTCCACCAACATGTGCTTCATGGCTGATCCAATAATTGCTTTCATCAGGACCTGACACCTTGAACCTGCTCAATAATAAAACTCATCTAAACCACTACATACTTAACTTCACTTTGATTATATTAGCAATGTTTTCTCACAGCATTTCTACTGACCGTTCAAGCACTGATTTTCCTTCCTTGTACTTCTGGGGTTTTTCATGGGCAGTCTCCTGAAAAGCACCCATTTGAGTAACCAAAATCAGCATAAAAACAGGTAAAACCATGATGTTTGAAGCACTGTCTCATAATCTTACATATTTCCATCCCACAATCGATCCACAACCCACACAGAAAATGTCAGCCACAGTATGCAACCCGGTCATCATCAGTCTCTCCTCTTTTTCACCAACAGAAACATTCACACTGTCAAAGAATAAAAGGTTTCAACTATACCCCCATAAACAGAACCAACTGTAAAATATAATGTGGCAGCTTTAGAGGTCAAAGGAGCAAGAGGCCATGAATTACAAACTAAGTTGTTTGGTCAACACTTTGGTTACACATGCTAGAAGATCCACATTCACCTCAACAGCGGATAAGAGTGATGGCAATTATGCAGTGGTCTTGACTCTTGATGAGCAGTTGTGGTTCACATACAGTGATACTATTTCCAATTTGATTGGCATGTTCTAAATGCAAACATAAGAGGATTTACCAGTGGACATGCATAAAAGAACAGTGATAGCAATGTGCAATGTGCAATGTGCATCTTCAAACAAGTTCTTGGACAAACAAAATATCAATATTGTTTTTTAATTTTTCCTTCTCCTTTCTAACACTATAAATGTCACAGTATGACATCACCAAGCTTTATTACTGATGGTCTTGATACAACAAGGGAATGTTTATTTTAGTTTCTTAATAATCACATAACGATAAGGTGACTAAAATTAGGATAACTTACACCTTATTGAAGAGATAAGCTTTCCCGTGTCTGCTTTGGAAAGCCTGAATAAAAGAACACGAGAAAATTGATAGTCAGGTCGTTTGTTCTTATAAAAAGCTCAATTAGGAATTGGGGACTAGCAATAAAAATACCAAAGAAAAATTCAAGAAAAAAATGAAAAATCTAAATTTTGGAAAAGCCTAACACTATCAATTAACATATATTTCCTTTGAAAAATAATACCCTCCATACGATCATCCACTAGATAGCCTAGACAACATGCGCTTATCAATTGATCGAAATAGACTTCTACCTGATGTCACTCATAAGTAAAAACAGAATCCAAAGATGCATCTATGCAACCAAAGTGTGTCTAAATATAACAAAGTGTGCTAGAGGCAACAAGTTCCAACATTTGAGGATGCAAATTGAAGCCAACCCATGTAACTGATACATGATCAATTAAAATACTACTCAATAGTCAATACAATCAATTTTCTCCAATCCATATAATAAATATGTTGCAAATTCTAATTGAGAACAACAACAATGTTACTTGCAGGAGCACTCTTCCACTTGCAAAAAGGAAAGGAGGCCTAAAACTCACCGCTTTATTACATTTTATTTGCAGATCTTATATTGACAAAATTAGGAAGAAATCAGATTCAGAATAGCATGGCTTTCTCTATATAATATGTTGAACCTGGACATCTATCTTCTCTCTGTACAAAGAGATCCAGAAAGTTATCTACTTTCTCCCTTAATTCAAGAAAAATTAATATCAGAAAAACAAGCAGCATAGTGTTGTAGTTCAGAAGGAGATAAGAAAGGAAAACCTCACCTCTTTAAGCAATTCGGTCCATTTACTACTAGAAATGACAAACAAAAATACACACATACTCATGAAAAAACAACCCAAAATAGATCTCCATGACTCCTGGGACATGATTAGCTGAATAAAACGTTTGTAAACATTTCAAAGCTTCTAAAGAAACACACACACACGATCACATTAAGCAATTGGGGGGAAAAGAAGCACAAAATCCTCATCTCCTTTTAACAAATCGACTCTGGTAAAGTCAAGCATCATATCAAATTCAAGTGATAGCCAACAGCACCGTGATTGTTTATACCAAACCGAGAAAACAGAAAAAGACCCGGCGATTACACACCACGCTCCTATAACGAATAATCCATAACAGATGAATAAACAACTAGGGAATGAAAATCTAGCAAAAATGTCACAGACCCAGAAAAGTTATTGACGAAAGAAAAGAGGGTAAGCGATCAAAATGAAACCTTTGAGATGATGTCTTCGCAAAGCGCAAGATGGGTATGACAATGTTTGCAGCTATAGATCCTTCCCTCCAAATTGACCACAAACAACCTCCCCATGACCTTGCAGAATACCTGAAGATCAACGACAATTGAGATAAAGAAGAAGAAGAAGAAGAAAGGTTGAAGATTTACCCGTGTCTAATGATACAATGCAGTTGCAAGAAATGTGTACTCACAAGTCACAAGTGACAAGTTATCGTATTTATTGTTTTTTCCGTAAAAGGCCATAACACGAATGTATTACACTATTATAGTATTATTAACGTTTTTGTTTTTTTGTTTCATTGATTTTAGTTTTAATTTCAATCACTTATGCTAGTTATGCGTAACTAGCTTACAAGTTACAACTTGCATTGGATAATATAAAATGGTTGATTCACTTATAACATTTTATACGTAACTATTAATATAAAATAATTTATAATCAAATTTATAAAAATTACATAATGGTATTCTTATTTATTTATATAAGATATATTTAAATTAGTTTAAAATTTAAAAGGTGATAATTAACTTGAAATAGTTTCTTACTTTAGTTTAAAATTTAAAAGGTGATAATTAACTTGAAATAGTTTCTTACTTTAATAAAATTCTATCATTTATATTTAAAATTTAAGTTGATTTTGAATATATAAAAAAGTAAGGTTAGTTAATTGGTGATGTCATTATATTATAAATAAATAAATTTAGAGGAAATATATATATATATATATATATATATATATATAAGTGACATGTGACATTGACAAATAATTAATTATAAATTAAAGCGATTATTTATTTACAGGTCAGAAAATGACTTAATTAATTATTTACTTGAAGGAACTAGATACATATTTTATATCAAATTTTATTATTTATTTTTTTTGGTAGAAAACATTTTTATTATTTAATTATTTTCATAACTGGGTAATGTTTCACTTTTTGTAAGGGACGCGTAAATAAAAAAAGGACAATTTTTGATTTTTAGTAAAAAAAATGAGTGAAAATTGTCAATAATACGACGTGTATATACTAAAAGAACCATTTTATACCTATAATGGTCAATAATATTAAAAAAAGAAGACAGGAAACATCTTTCAGTCCCTCTCATTCTCGAATAGCATAATGTTAGTTGTTAAACATGATCAAAATTTGATACAAATTGTTTACTCTTCTAATAAATTTATATTTCTGGCAAGGCCAATAGCTGTTTCTCTAGAATAGAAAAACAGCCAGTGGGTGGCACCAAAGCAGCAATACCATATTATACAGAAGCATACAACAGAGTACATACATATACATTTATATGTTATACATAGGAGTTTTTATCTTGTGGGGTGTACAGAAAAAAATTAATAAAATTGCAGTACAAGGTGAGAGTGACTTAATAGAGGAAAATGAGCTTTAAGGTTTCATTTGTAGAGTTATGTCACTTGTTGAAGGTAGCAATAAAACTGATAGGACCTTTTCCTGTTACAGCAGCTTGAATTCCAAAGATGAGGAAGACCACCATAGCCAAGCGTGCATGCTTAATCTCTGCTAGTTGAAGTCTGGCCTTCTCTTCAGGGTCGTTTGCCAAACCCAGAGGATCAAAGAACTTGCCACCTGGGTACAACCTTTTTTCTGGGTCAAGCTCTGCATTTCTTTGAAACTCAATGTAGCCTAGCAATAGCACCTCAATCCAGATCAATGTGGTCACTGAGAATGGAAGAGGAAGTCCCAAGTAGGATGATCCTTCCACCAGCTCTACCTGAAAATTGCAGTTAAAAAACACAAATAAATTTGAATAAGCTTGATATATTTTGTATCATTAATAAGCTTCAATAGTTAATTTTAGTGGTTCTTCTTGTTGGCTATATGACGACTCTTGTTGAAAGGACGCAAAGAAATAGCTATTGTTGCTTAGGGTTTCTAAGCTTATTTATATTTTCCTTAGAGTAGAGCGAAGAGAATATAGTAAATATTGCTGGACATAGCCCACATTGAATGAATCAGGATAAATTATGTGTCTTCGTTTTCTACCCTTTTTCTCTTTTACCTAGAGATTGTTTCTGTGTGTTTGTGTTCGGTGACAACACTTCTTAGTAATAATCCCATATACTTTCCTATTTGTTAGCCTGAAAATATGGAGTAGACAGTTTTAAAATTTATAGGACCTATTTTTTTTGTGTCTCACTCTTACTGAATCTCATGCTCACTGCAAATGATCCAGATTTAAAATATTAATTAAATCAACCTTGAATGGTTAAGATGGTTCACACACAAAATCCATTCTACAGGCAAGTTTCTTCAAACTAATTAATTTTAGTCAAGAGAATTTGTTTACCTGCTAAAAGTATTATAGAACTTGTTTAGGACTAAATTGTGTGGCAGTTTGTCCATTGGGGAAAGGATAGAACCCATAAAAAAAAAAGGGCATTAAACGCAACAAATCAAATAATAATGTAAACTTTTGTCTTCATCGTTGGCAGCCACATAAGTCATCATCATCTTTAGCACCACATAATCACACTACATGCCAGTGGATTACAATAAGACACGCAAAACAAAAAGCTGTACAACGTATATTACTATTACAGTCACATACATGGGACCATGTTACATTGTCAGTAGCTTATACATACATACATACAATACATCAACCACCATCACAAAAAAAAAAAAAAAAAAAATCACCACCATGCAAATTCAAGTTTTCACACACACAGATACCTGATCACTATTTTGTTAATGAAAGATGAATTAAACAAGAAAAAGATGTTGGAAGAGTGATCACAACCACCAAGTGTTTGATTAATTGCATAACTGAAAAGAATGCCGGGTCTCCCAAAAATGGCGACACCCAAAAGAGACAGAGAAAAAGGGTACTCAAATTGCATCATCAGCTGAAAGAAACAAACATAAAAACGGTACCTTTCCAGCGTCTTGCCATGCGACACCAGTGAGAGCCTCAACGGCCAAGGCACCGAGAGCACCCAACATTGCCCACCTTCCATGAATGAGCTCACACTCACGGAACCTCTGCAACCCGAACACCTCCGTGTAGGGCTGAAACGGCGTGGGTTTAACCTCAGCGGTCTCAAACCTGGTTCCAATCACGTCGCCATACTCGTTCTTCGCAAGGTTCTGGTCCAGCGAGTCCAAATCGAACTGAAGGTACTCTGCGGGTTTCGCGAACCCAAATGGGTCGAACCCGCGGTCCCCGATCATGGTCCCGTCGAGCCACTCCGGTGGCTGTGCTTTCGGGAACCACACGAGCCGGTCTCCATCGGGTTTCACTTTCTGTTTCACCTCCTTTTTCTTCTGCGATGGTGAGGATGCCTTCTTGATACCCAGGTTGAAGAGTGCGTGGAATCTTCCAGTGTTTGAGGTTGGGTTGCCGAGACGGGTGCCGAAGAAGTATGATGCGGCGGCGGCTGCGGCGGTGGCCATGGCGGAGTTTGCAAGAGCACTCAGGTGTCTCTGAGAGTCTGAGTATACAAAGTGGGAAATGAATATAATATATATAATATTTATTTATTAATGTATTTTTTTAGTGTAGAGAGTTATGTGAAGGAGCGTGTAGTGAGTGTGTGAGCATAAGAAGAGGCTTATCTCTCTGCCTTATCTGCATATGAGTGGTTGATTGCTGCTTCACATTTATCCTGTGGACCTAAGGCTAAAGGAAAAAACAATTTTTTTTACATTTTCACATTTTTCTTTTTTTTTTTGGAAATATTCCAATCGGTTCATTGCTTCGCAACTAATCCGATTCGGGGCGAGTTCAGGATTAAGGCTTTAAATCCCTCCCAAAGGTGGTACTGGAAAGATTCGAACACATGCTCTCACCTCCACCTCCACATGCTTAGCTCTCATGCGCCAACTATCACCATTTGTTCATTTTTATTTGTTTCTCTTTATTTTTTATGATTGGCAATTATTATTTGGTTTATATTTGACAAATAAAAATGAAAACAAAAGGCAGAAAATAAAGCAGAGAAAATTAAGACCCTGAGTCAGTAGATTATGACAAAAATGAGGGAGATAAAAGTGTTAAAGATATAAAAATCACGTGCATTCAACTGACAGCTTAAACAAGTTTTAAAATAGTTGGTTCATGACAAGAGGCTTGGCACCCTGCTTCTTCAATTAGTCTAATAGACAAAGATGAAATAAGTAAGGTAAAAATAATGATTATTTGTATTAATTAAGATATTCTGATAGTTCGAATTAAAAAGAAAAAAGATGATGGAAGTTAGAGTGGGAAGTCATAATTCTTTGCAATTGTGAACTGCATCGAATGTGTCATGAAGTGGTTTTATATTCTACTGTCTAATAGACTAATTGTCAACCATTCCTCGTAAGATTTCATTTAACTGAGAAATTTTTTTGTAACAAGTAAGCGTTAGGAATTCAATTTTCCAATTTTTGAAAAGATTAGTTTGTTGCACATATGAAGAGATCACCATCATTGTTGACTTGCTTCTTGTGTGTTGTGGTTTGTATGGTAATGTTAGCACATGATGATGATACTACTGTGGTTTTCAGGTTAACAATTTCCTGTCTGGCACCATGTATCCTACCAAGTTAAAGATAAAGAAGCGACACTTGCATGCCTCTGATCACCTGTCGAATTGCATACATTGTCATTCTTTTTTGATACAGTTTTTTGAATGGGTCTGACATTTATGAACTTTTTCACATATGAAGGCAGACAGGTAAGGGTTACTGAAGGGAAAATATGTCTTCTATATAACTTTTTGCACATATAAATGATTCATAAAATTTGGGTCATACAAAAAGTTTTAGTCCAGTTAGAATTTGAGTGAGTTACTTGAATTCAGATGTTGTCATGTGTACAGTACAGGCTTACAAATAGTGTTTATAAAGTGATGTAACAAGTTGTTAGGGAATACTATTACACTTGAAAATCTATGGACAAAGTTGTTTAACTGAGTGCCTTTGTTTTAATACATAGAGATTCAATTCTTGATGCTGTTATATACTTGCATTACATATGTAAGTTGCCTTGATGTTAATTTTGTATATGCATTTCCCTGTTAGTCTATTACCTCTCCATAAGTTATTTTAAATTGAAGAAGGTTATATTTATAAAAAAATTTGTTTACAAACTACACTAAGTATGACCGATCATACTTCAATCAAGAGTATATGACTAGTCATACTTAATATAATTTGTAAAAAAAAATTATAAACGGATAATTTTCTTTTTAAATTTGCACTTTTTCCCGCATGTTGGTGTAACACAGTAGGAAAGTTTGACTATGAGCTGACACATAAGTCAATAAAGTTTTCAGAAAGGTACGAGTTTCTATGCATTTGATCACCATTGTCCAACTCTGGCTATTTCAATGGTAAGATTCTCTGCATTAACAATGGGTCCATGAAGCCCATATGTCAGAAGTTAAATTCATTGTCAAATGAAGCCCATGAAGTTGAGAATCTATGCTGTGCCTGCCCACTACCAAGGGCAAATAGAAGCTTAATTCATGCTCAACTTTTTACTATACATGGCACCATTTGCAAAAGGAATGGTCACTCTTAAACAGGAAATTGAAGTTATCATGGCATTCCAATCAGTCCTTCCCTTTCTCACATACTCTCAACATGTACCTTAACCCTGACATGTCCCGTGCATTGTTATAGCTTAGTAATATATGTATCAACCTAGTGGATGGATCATGGACTACTATAAATAGAGGACCTTAAAGAGTTAATTATTGAAAGTAAATCACTTTCCAAACCCATTATAGCACTATTTTAATTATTGTTAAAAGTTAATATATTCTCATCAAATTTTTGATGTGGGAACTGAGAGAGAGAGAGAGAGAGAGAGAAAAGCCATCATTCACACGTGTTGATGTCGGAAAATGTTACTAGAAAGTCAAGAATGTTGATGGCATTGAGGTTGCAAGGGACATAATTAACCAAGTAAAAAACATGGTCATTACCATCACCATCACTATCAAGCAAAAAGCAAAAGTGAATAGGAAAAATCCTCCCACAATGCCTACACATTCACTACATTGAGTTTCCAGGTGGGTTTGGACACTGCTAATCATGATTTTTACCTTTAATCTTGTGTCAAATCCCATAGTCTCCGACATTAATTATTGATAGTGTCAGTTCCAACTGTTACTAATCCTACTCTTTAGTGTTCACCTTTCTAAGCACTTGGCCATGTTGGGGTTTTGTCGTTGTGATTTGCACGTGTCATGGGTTTAGAATTCTTTGCATTTGTTGCTTAGTTCACACTGAAGAAATTAATCTTAAATGCTATCATAATCCGAAATAATTAAATCCCCTATCTAGCTGGCAATGACATTGCAAGCTTTTTATTTTGTCATTTAACCAATTTGAGAGGTGTTTATCTTTTCTTGCTTCTATGCTTGGTAACTGCTAGTGCTATGTTTGTTGTCAAAAATTTGTTATTTAAAACCAAGAAAAGAATAAGTAAAAAGATTTCTTTTACTCATCTAAGTTAAAGTGTAACTATTGATTGGTTTAAATTTTTCACAAATAATTTACCAATCTAATTAATGCAAAAAATGTGTATCTTCACAGTGTGTGTTTAAGTCACGCATAATTCTACGAATGATTTATGTAAAAGATCGCGCATTTATCACAATGTCGTACATGCAAAACCCGCATGGGAAAATATGTGATTTGAACATGCATTGAAATAATGTGTACGTCTTCCATAGCGTGAAACATGACAAACATGCATTGTCTTTTTTCTCAAGTTGCATGTAGAAGTGATGCACAACTTGAATACACGCACCATTTTTTTGGTATTAGATTCATAAATTATTTGTTAAAAGAATTATTTTACATGAGTCAAAAAGTCTCAGAAAAAGACAAGAAAGAAAGAGAGAGAAGAAAAAAAAGAAGAAAAAAAAAAAGTAAGTACGGTTAGAAAAAGTCATATGGAAACGAGTACTATCATTAAGTAGATATCATAGTCATAGATGTGAATGGCATAATAGGATACCACAACTATTACATGATAATTTAGGTAAAAAAGAAATAAAGGCATGCCGACAATGGATGATGCCTTGTGAACCACACTCTGTACAATTTTGTAGCTTTTGTCTCCCCATTTATTTTAGGCACTCTGCAAGTCAGAAGATGACTAGTATAACTGTAACCATGTTGGACTTTAGCCTTTTCAACTTACAAGTTTCAATCACTTTATGTCAAGAAAGGCATAAAAAAAAATGTAATAGTAAAAATTGATAACAAACTTGATTGGTTCAGGCTTAAGAATAATTTAGGGAGTCGATTAAAGAATGATTAGAGTGGAAGAAGAAATTTTCAATGCTTGTGATGTTGGATCAAAGGATTTGACATAAAAGGACCAGAAGCAGCAATTTTGAGTGAGGGAATTTTGTCTAAGTTAACATGATTATATGTAACCACAGCCTAAAAGATTTATAGTAACTTAGCCCGCAATTAAGGTCAATCAAGGTTCAAGGTAATCCAATTACCACTATTTTACAAAGTCTCCAATAATTATTGGTGTTTAAGAACATAAGTGCAGTTCTTTTCCAATTTCCTTGTCCAATCAAAATTCCTCCAATGGTTTTGGTGCCTAAAATGTAATAGAGAAGGTAGCCAAGAGGGGATGTTTTTCTTTCACTCTTTCTCTTTATGTGTTTGCTTTACGTGAACTCCCAATATCTATACTTTTAATACCCAATCCTTTTACAGTGGATTAGTTTTCGGAGACATTAGTGGGTTGAAAGGTAACATTCGGTAAAGTATTATAAGAAGCAAAAAGTGGTTTAAAAAAAAAAAACAGTATTATCTATTTTCTTATTGGAGATTTTTTTAATTAGATAATCAATTATTCCATTAATTTATTCGAGCTGCGTAAGATCATAAAGAGACAAAATTATTCTAATCAAATTTTTAACACAACTATATATTCAAGACTCCGAACTTGAAATAAGTGAATAAGGTGAAATTATCTTGTATCAGTTTATTCATGTGTTTGGTGATAAATAATTTATTTTTATATTCTTTTGATTACTTTAGCTGAAAAAGGAATTTATAAATAAATGCTAGAAAGAAAAGGTCAACACTGCTTACAAAGTCAATAATAACAAGAGAAATAAAAAAGATAAAACAAGACATGTATAAAAAAAAAGATGAGCAAGGAAATTAACCGTATGTAAATGGGACATGAAAGAAACGAAAAACAAGAGAAGTTCAAACTTACATGCACAGAGAAGCAGAGGTTGGAGGAAGCAATACAGTGAGAATAAGAACAGAAAAAAGCTGAGTAATGGATGCACTGTGGAACAGTGGAAGAAAGAACATAAAAGGAAAACGTCAAAAACCAATGAATAATTAAAGACAGAAACACATGGCACTAGCCGAATGTGATGCATCCAAGTCCTAAGATAAGTGGAAGCCCCACCATTTTATAAGCATGCAGGCATGTACATGTACATGTACATGTACATGAAACATAATATATAGTTGTAGATTGTTAAGATCAACTGCAAAAACCACCCAAATATCAA